ATTTTACCTGTTCTATTCTGGTCATAAAGGTTCCTTATGACATCTAAGTATAACAAACAAATGCTAATAAAACCAAAATTTTGTTGGCCATTATTTCAGCAAATGGCCAGAGAACATGACCCTCAGTTCCTCTGCTTCATGTGCTGTCCAGGAGCAGGATGTAGAAATGCAGTGCAAATTTAAAAATATTTATGAAAACAGGATTTATATTTGAAAGTGAGGAGAATCTAAGAAATTATTCCCTATAATGCACAGTAGTATTTTTTTTTGGTGGGGTTTGGAACGATCTCTGTTTACACACTGACATACTTCTTATAATAAACACAAATAGCTAATGTATGCATCCACCACTCTGCTCTAAATTTTAAGAACAAAAGAAAAAAACCATCTATATAGATTCCCACATACTACATTTCCTTTACTTGGAAGCAGCCATCTATCTAACCACATTTACTACTCAGATAAGTCAGGCACAAAAATAAGAACCCCCTTTCCACAAAGCTCTAGAAATGTAGCACTGGTGATAGGGGGCGTGGTCAGAGGGCACAGAGCAGAGACAGCCCATTACATCCATCTGGGCGGTGGCAGCATCAAACTGTATATTTGACACTTAAGCCTTTTACTATGTTATACCTCTTAAAGAATATTTTTATTTAATTTCTATTTATTTTAATTCCTTAAAGGAAACTACTTAGAGGCTTTCAGAATCTCAAGAATCTTTCATCTTCCCTCTTAACCTTTTTTTACATACTGCAGGTCCATCATTAGTTTCTTCTTTATTTTTTTTTTTTAAAGATTTCTTTATTTATGCATACAAGAACCAGGGTACAGGCCAGATGCGTGGAGGGTGAGAGGATTCACCAGAGACAGAGCGGGAACAGAACAGGCAGACTGACTGAAATACACTGCTGAGGGGAGCAGTGAGCGAGATAGGAGAGGTCTACCATGCCATGTGGGTTGCTCCGCGGCCGGCAGGGATCAAAAGGGCACTGCAGAGGCTGTGGACAACTTCACGGTACTGAACTCAATCACCTGCGCCACCAGGGGAGGCCCATTGGTTTCTGCTTTAAAGCTTCAATTTCAATCTCTGGTCGCTGGTTTTATTTCTCAGGACATTTGTTGTTTTTCTTATTTTTTCCCTTCTGTTTTTTTGAATTTCTTTCTGAGAGCAATTTTGAATTCTTTATTTGATAGGAAGAATGATTTTCCAACTCTCTGTGATTAGGTTCTGGATATCTGTTATCTTCCTGCTAGTGCCGCCCGGTCTCTGCTGCTGCTGGCTCTAGTATGCATCCACCACTAGTCTTGGGGCCTTACCAGAAGGCTGCATGTTGCTGCTGGTGCTGCCTGGGCATCAGACGAACATTGGACGTCTCTGAAGAAATCCTACACAAAAGCAGAGAATGGAATGATAGGATCAAAATAATTAAGATAGAAACTGCCAGCCAAGAATACTCTATCCTACAAAGCTTTCCTTCATATAAGAGGGGAAAATAAAGGCCTTCTCAGACAAACAAACTGAAGGAATTTGCAAACACTTGACCCCCTCCAGAAGTACTGAAAAGAGCTCTCATATGTAAACTAAAAAGAGAAGCATACAAAAAGAACTGAACACAAACACAGAACCACAAAATTAAGGACCAAAGGCAATGACAGTCTTTCATATATCTGCAACCACTCTAAATTTAAATGAACTAACCACACCACAAAAAGGCAGAGAGTATCTAACTGGATTAGGAAACAGAATGCAATATTTTTGCTGTCTCCAGGAAATGCAACTGAGCTCCAAAGATGAACAGATTCTGAGTAAAGGGGAGGGAAGCAATCCTACAAGCAAAAGGGATGCAAAGGAAGGCAGGAACAGCCATTCCTAGAGCTGATGAAATAGATTTCTAGCTAAAAAAAGGTAATAAGAAACAGGGATAGACAATATATAATGCTTAAGGGAATACACCAGGACTACATAACACTCATCAATGGATATTCACCAAAAGGAAGCAGCACCAAAATAAAGTAGGCAATTATTATCCAATCTGAAAACAGATATTGAAAAACACATTTGTGGCTGGATACCCAAGTCTTACCAATAGACACATTAACCAGAAAGAAAATAAATAGGGACATAATAACCTTAAAAAATTAGACCACATGGGCCTAACAGACATTTTTGGGCACTGCATCATTTTATGATGAAACTCTTCAAAAAAAAAAAAAAAGATGCATCATAAAGCCACAGCTAGCATCATTCTTGATTGTGAAAAACTGAAAACATATCCACTAAGCTCTCATACAAGACAAGGTTACCCATTCTCACTACTACTATTCACCATAGTCCTAGCCAGAACAATTAGACAAGAGAAGGGTATCAAAGGAATCCAAACCAAAAAACACATAGAAAACATAAGCAAAACACTTTACAACATAAGCTTCAGTGATATCTTTGTGGATTCATCACCAATAGCAACAAAAAAAGATTATAAACAATTGAGACAATATTAAACTAAAAACCTTCTGCACAGTGAAAGAAACCATCACTAAAAGAGAAAGACACCCGCATGAATTGGAGAAAATATTTGCACACCATACATCTAACAAGGGGCTGGTAGCAAAGATCTACAAAGAACTCGTACAACTCAACAAAAAGAAAACAATACAATCAAAAAATGGGCACAAGAGCTAAACAGGGGCCTCCCCAGTGGCGCGGTGGTTGAGCGCTGGGTTGCGAAGCTACCCACAGCCTCTGCAGCGTCGGTTCGATCCCCGGCTGCTCCCCGGCCACCGGAGGAGGGTCCCACATGGCGCGCAGACCTCTCCTGCCGCCCACTGCTCCCCTCAGCAGTGTACTTCGGTCCTTCTGCCTGCTCTGCTCCCCGCTCTGGCTCTGGTGAATTCTCTCACCTTCCCGCGCTTCTAACTGTACCCAGTGCTCATATAAAATAAAATAAATAAATAAATCTTTAAAAAAAAAAAAAAGAGCTAAACAGGCTGTTCGTCAAGAAGTCATAAAGATGACCAACAAGCACATGAAAAAAATGCTCATCATCACTTATCTTCAGGGAAATGCAAATCAAAATCACAATGAGGTGTCACCTCACACCTTTGAGAATTGTCCATATCAAAGAGACCAGAAACAACAAGTGGACTATGTGGATGGACTGTGGGTGCTCTGGTGGTGGGTATGGTGAACTAACAATACCTGAAGGGGGAGATCCTACAGCTCTAAAACACAAACAACATGTAAACCAGTATTACCTCAGTTTTTTGTTTTTTTTTTAAACTGACATAATTGCAATATGCCAAAAAAGAAAGAAGTAGATTGTATTTCAAAAGGTCTAGGGTGGGGCCTAGGATTCTGAATTTCCAGCCAGCTTTTAGGCGATACTAATGTTGCTGACCAAGGAATATCTTTTGTGTAGAAAAATTTAGGAAAAGAAGTTTCCAAAGAGGGAAAGATTCGATTCGATTCAATTACCTTATAAAGGAATTGAAACTAGTCTGATAGGATTCAGGGGCAAAATCATGCAGAGCAGTAACAGTGATATCATGAAATTATTGAGGAACAAGTAAATATGAACGTAAAATTCAATAATGAACCACACAGAAGTCATCTTCAGACGTTCTCATCTTCAGACGTTCCAGGGTAGTTTATCATCCACTGATCAGTTTTCAAAGAATCAGAAATGAAATCATGAGGAAGAAAATCTAGTACACCAGCGAGGGGATCTATAAGAAAAGGGTGGCAGCACAGCGCAGGCATTAAGAGTGAAGATCTTGGGCCTTCCTGGTGGTACAAGGGGTTAAGCACCGCACTATGAAGCAATCCGCAGCCTCTTCAGCACGAGTTGGATCCCGCCAGGGAGCAACCCACATGGTGAGGCAGACCTCTCCTGTCTCGCCCGCTGCTCCTCTCAGTGTATTTCAGTCAGTCTGTCTGTTCCCCGCTCTGTCTCTGGTGAACCTCTCACCGCCCCCCACGCCCCGCATATCAGGCCTGTACCCCGGTTCTTGTATGCATAAATAAATAAATCTTAAAAAAAAAAAAAGTGAAGATCCTCAGGGGGGAAACTAGTATTGTAACTGGCTGTTACATTTAGCCACACAAAATGAAATACTGGAGAATGCGTGGTGAAGTAAATTCACAACCATGGAGGCAGTGTTCTGACTTCACGCCCCCCCCCACCCCACCAGACAAAAGACGCAGCCAGCAAGTGCACGCTCACGATATTACACAAGTGTTCAAGGGACCGAGGCTTCCACTGTTTTCGACGCTTACGAAAACAAGTAAAATGTACAGCTCGTCACGGGCACTGGAGACCGTTACAGAAGCACTGCAACAGGGAGGAAACCCACGGCGTTCTATTCCATCACAGCTTCCTCAGCTCCAGTTCACCGTGAAACGCGGTCTGCAGAGGAACCGGAGTATCCAAGCAGAGACCGTCGGGGGTCTCGCCTGAGGTGCAAACGTGCGGGCTGCGGGGCACCGCGGGACGCGAGCAGGGCAGGGCTGCCGCAGGCCCTAGCTGCTTTTAAACCGGGCTGGAGGGAGGGGAGGAGTCAGGCCCCGCCGAGGACGCGGGGCGCTCGGGGAAAGGAGTCCCCGCACCCCATCGGCCTCAGAAGAAGCCGACGCGAGCGCGGACGTGGACGCCCCGGGGAAACTCACTTCCTGTCACCAAGCGCCCTCGGCATTTTAGCTCTCCCGACGGTGCTCGCGCCAGTTCTCGGCGTCCACACACGGAAAAGGCCCAACGCAGACGCCTCTGGGACCCCAGATTCCAAAGCGGCGCGCCCTTGACGCGCACGCTCGTACGTCACCCGCACGCGCCTTTTTGGCGTGGGTCGAGTTCGTCATCCGCACGCGCCCCGCACGCAGCCAACCGGCGCCCGGCAGGTCACCTTTGCTCCGCGCCGCCGCCCCGCCCGCACCCACGCCCGCAGGCCCCGCCCCGGCGGCCGCAGGGGCAGGGGCGGACGCAGGCGCAGGCGCAGGCGCGGGGGTGGCGGGCGGGCGAGGACGCCGCCGCCGGGATGGTGCTGGAGAGCGTGGCGCGCATCGTGAAGGTGCAGCTCCCCGCCTATCTTAAGCGGCTCCCAGTGCCCGAGAGCATTACCGGGTTCGCCCGGCTCACAGGTAGTCCTGGCCGTCGCCCCGGGGCGCCCGGCAGCCTCCCCGGCCGGGTGGGGGTGGGCGCGCCGGGTCCCGGGGCTCGCCTGCGCCCGGCCCGCGGGCCCTCGCCGGGGGGTGCGCCTCGCCCTGCGCCGGGAGGCCCCGGACACGCGCGCCCGCGCCAGGCCCACTCGGCCCCGCTGTGGCGGGAGCGGGAGGGAAGCGCTAAGCTGCAGGTAAAGGCGGAGGCGGCTTCGTGAAGCGACAGCGGCCGCATTCCGGCGGGGAGCGCGGGGCCGGCGGGTCACCTCCTGGCCACGGTCTGCCGGCGGTCCAGGGAAGGACGCAGTAGCCGGCGGCGTCAGACGCCGGTGTGAGGGCCCAGATCTGTAAGGTGAGAGGTGCCGCAGGTGGGACTTTCTGCGCGCGCGTCGCTGCTTCACGGAAAGGCCGCCCCTCGGGAGTTGGCGTCGGGATGACACCCCGGTCAGCACTTGCAAGAGTCCGTTGGGTTCGGAGCCGTACAGTGTGAGGGGGACATTTGCACATCAGATTCATTAGAATGGTGAGGGAAGTGCACGTAAAGCAAATATTGAATGCGTGTGTTCTGTGTATCGGGGTGGGAACACGAATTAAGATGGTTTTGAGGTAAATGGGGCTGCTTAGCCAGGAGTTCTGTGGTTGCTGACTTAACACACCATTTGGATGGCTGACTGGTGAAAGAAAGGTGAGATTTATTCCGTGTAAACCAAAAAATGGACTCGAACGAAATTAGTGAAGGTTATTAGAATTGACTTTAAGCAAGGTGGTTTTGTTGTGTTTTTAATTGGAGAATATTTTCCCGAAATAAATAGGGTGCCCTCGGAGACAGTCCCTCTCAGACATTAAGCAAAAAGGCATCCTGTGGTGGTGAATAGAAGTAGATGCGTAAACTATGTAGATGCGTAAACTTCTGAGTCACGAGTCCTTGGATTATGGTCAAGAGAGGATTGCTCTTTCGCTGGGATTGTGAGCTTTTGTCATTTTCAGATATTACCAGGTTTGGTAGAGAGCATGTAACTGAATAGAAAGCACGGTAACCGAATAAATTTAGAAAAGAAACATGTAAACATCAGAAGCCACGTAAAAATCGCTAAAGGAAAACACTTTCAAATCAAGTGTAAGCATCAGTCTTCTTTTGATCTTTATTAATTGTTAGAATTGTAGCACTTAGGTAAAATTATTACTTTTTTTCCCCCTTGATCATTTCTTTTACTGAAGTACTTTCCGTATTTTAATGCAGCCTTCATTGTTTTCAAGCTGTGTTTTATATTAACCTCATGGTGGGCCTAAGCATTTCCCTGCAGCTGAAAGTTTGGTGTGTGTCATAGGCTTTTTTTTTTTTTTTAAGATTTATTTATTTATACAAGCACCGGGTACAGTCAGAAGCGCTGGAGGGCGAGAGAATTCACCAGAGCCAGAGCGGGGAGCAGAGCAGGCAGAAGGACCGAAGTACACTGCTGAGGGGAGCAGCTGGCGGCAGTAGAGGTCTGCGCGCCATGCGGGACCCTGGCCCAGGGATCGAACCTGCGCTGCAGAGGCTGCGGGCAGCCCAGCACTCAACCTCTGCGCCACCAGGGGAGGCCCTCATAGGCATTTTTTATTCATGTTGTTCATCAGTAATTAGCTTCGTGCCAATTGTCTTAGTTTTCTGTTTTGATTTAGACCCTTGAGTGTACTCACTAAAGTAGTGGTACAGGTGAGGAGGATATGATACGTAAAGCAAATATTGAATGCATGTGTTCTGTGTATCGGGGTGGGATTTGCTTTCTGTTGCCATGGTACCCCTGTTCCTTTCTATACATTAACTGCTGAATTGTTTCAATGACAAGAAAGAAAAGTCTATTTCCACACCAGTCTAGCATAATCCGAAGTAAGTGTAGATTCTGGTGGTGGCTGGATTTATATTAGTTTCAATTTTCTGTAAATAGAGTGTGGTGGGAGCAGATCAGAAAGCATGATATTTGATTGAGTGACTAGAAGATTGTAGAGGCATGTTTGTTCTTGTTTTTCAAGTCCCCACTGTCGACAAATACTTCATTCCCATGAAAGGCATCAAGAAAGCTCAAACCTTGATGCCTTCCTTAAATCAACGACATACAGTAACTTCCTCTTTAAAGTTGTTCACTATTTAATGCGAGGACCCATGCTCAGAAATACTGATGTGTTAGAGCACATATTAGCTTAAGTCCATTGCAGCACGCCTGCAATTTAGTTCTCCTTGCTTGTTTGTTCAGGAAACATTTATGTGCAGTAATACTTCCTATGAAGTATTGTACTGGGCATGGACAGTAACCTTGCAGAATCTGTTTTGGAGCACTGTGGAAGGAAAACTCCCGGGGGCCATTTTCTGTTCTGAGCCTCCCTTCAGAATAGATTGTGGTAGCCAACAAGACATTTGACCCTTGAAGGAGCAACTTTTGGAAGCCATACTTTGGCTTCTGTTGAAATAAAAACCTGGAAGCTAACTTTTTAGCCATTGTTTAAAATGTCCAGTAGACCAAAAACTATTTTCATTTTCTGTCTGAAACCTGGAGCAAAAAAAGTTACAGTTCACATTGTTGTTGCCTGTTTTTCCTTCCCTATTCAGGGCTGGTGGTTCTTTAAAGCAGTTGCCTCTCAAGGATGACTCTGCATTCTTGGTAAACACGTTACCATGGTCTTTGATACAGACAGTCCTTGCTACTTAGAATCAACTTACCCTATTTGTGTAGGTGACATATTTCAGAGTGAGGCTTTTAAGATAGTGTGATTCTGCCCTTTGAGCTATATTGTATTCTAATACTTGGACCTTTACAAAAGCTTTCCCCTGGCATGTGAATATGTAAAAGAGAACTAATAATCTTCCCATTCGGAAGTTAAGAAACAGTTTACTGCTAGATCTAATGCTAGCTGTAAAACATTGAATATTGCGGTTCTTCCCCACTTAAAGTGGTTTCTTTTTGTGAAACAACAGTTTAATTCTTAAAACAGTGAATCCCAACACTAAATAATAGTTCTCCCAGGGAGCACAAAAGTATCGCAGCAGAGCTTGCAGGGTGTTAGCTCTATTTATGCAGGTACAGCATTTGGAATGCCGAGGGCATTGTTGATCACGTGGGGAATTGCTGTTATTCCTGTTGTGGCTTTATAAAACAGATACACTGTGAGTTGGTTATTGAGACCCTGCTCGATGCCAGGTGCTATACTGGCATCAGGTACTATTGACAAATAAGGTGGCATTTACCAAAGCATTGCCACAGGAAGGCATTTAATGATTAGTAAAATGATGGTAAACAGATTGTTTAAGAATTGCACATTGGGGGCCTCCCCTGGTGGCCCAGGCAGTTGAGCACTGTGCTGTGAAGCTGTCCGCAGTCTCTGCAGCACCAGTTCGATCCCGGCCGTCCGGTGAGGGTCCCACAGGGCGCTGCAGACCTCTCCTGTCGTGCCCGCTGCTCCCCTCAGCAGTGTATTTCGTCAGTCTGCCTGTTCTGTTCCCTGCTCTGTCTCTGGTGAATCCTCTCACCCTCCCACGCCTCTGGCCTGTACCCCGGTTCTTGTATAAATAAAATCTTTAAAAAAAAAAAAAAAGAATTGCACATTGCTAAGACTTCCTTATTCAGAAATATTTAAGGGGACTGTACAAAGTTGTATAAAAAGCTAACTTTCTAGAGTGATAGTAAACCCTGTATTTTGGTTTAGGTGATGTTTATAGGTTTAAATAGTCTCCAGACTCATCAAATTAAATACTTTGTGGAAGCTGGACAGACTATGCTGTAAATTGTGCTTCAAAATAAAGGAAGTGGAGGCAGGCATTAGTTAGGCACCCGGGATATAGTGGTGACCCAGGCAAGTAGGACCCTGCGCTTGGAGACCTTACACTGTGCTTGGGAGACAGGACCTGGGGTTGCAGCCATTGCTGTTCATGTTTCCAAAGGCTGTTAAGGAATTGGAACAGGTTTCTGATAAAATATTAAGTGAAATAGTAGGATATAGATTGAATATGCAACATGGCCTCAATTTTGTTTTTCATTTCTTGTGTTTAAAGCTGTCTAACACTACCCCTGTCCCCCCCGCAAAGGAAGACAGAGATATACCAAATGTTACCACCTCTTGGCTGGTGGGATTAAAATTTATATAATTTTCTAGACTTTTATATATTTTGTAAAATGTCATTTTTAATAACCCTAAAACAATAAAAAGTCAAAATTATACATTGTCCCTAACAATTAGTGGTAACAGCTGTCTGTGGTAGCTCAACCTGTGTCAAACAGGTTCATGGGAAATGGCATTTTTTCCAAAGCTTTTTAAAATTTTCATTTTCCTGTGTTTCATATTTCTCTTTACTAAAAATCAGCTTTGAAAAATACATGTAAGAGTGATTTCATTGAACTTTATAGGCTGTATTATTTTCTGCAGTTAAACTCAATCCTTAAAAACTAGGTTGTCCAAAGACTGTTGTGTTAGTCTTGCCTTTTTTGTCGGCCAGAACAGTGCCTTTCATTACTGTGGGATTACACATCAGGGCTAACCAAGGCAGGAGTGTCGGAGGAGCACTTTCTAAAGTAGATTCTGAAACATTACTACCACCACTGACTTGCTGAGGTTTGTGAGTTGTTAGGAAATGTTAAACTTACAGATCTAAGTTAATTTCAACTGCACAATCCTGTCTGTTGACTTTTTGAAAGAGTTGTTTAACCTCTATGACTTTTTAATTTTGTGATATACAGAACAATAATGTTATTCTACATCCAGCAAACATTTGTTGAATAATTTGTGTCTCAATACTGTACTGGACGTTGGTTGGGACAAGTCACAGTCTCGGACATTGACCGCCGGCTCTGGAAGATAAGTGTAAATAATCAGCTCCTGACTGACGTTTGTGCTCCTCATTCACTCATCTAGCAGGCCTAGCAGCCAACATCTTTGAGGTGTTCACTTCACATGCATCTGCCAGGGTGAGGGGGACTCAGCGCCTCCACCTGCAGGCTTATGGAAGAGTCACTTTTAACAGTAGTGTAGTAGCATAAACGTGAGAAAAGGTGGGGCGGGGGGGCTGGAAACAGTAGGAATTAAATTCTGGTTTGTGAAATCAAGAAAGACCCTGGAGCAGGCAAAGGTCTCAGAGCCCTGCACAAACAGGCAGCTGACCAGAGCAGAAAGTGCCATGGGGCTGCTGCCAGGTCAGGCCTGGGCTGGGTCCAGTCCAGGGTGGGGTGTCAGGGAGCACAGCTGTCAGGCTGGTCCTCTGCAGGAGCAGGGGTCCACAGCAGTGCCACCCAGAAGCTCTCGGTGACAATGGAGCTGCTCCCTGCACTGTGGGCTTCAGGGACCACTGCCACTCGTAGCCGATGAGCTACTGAAGTGTGACAAGTGTGTCTTAGAAACAATTTTAAATTCTAGTTAATTTCTATTCATTTGTAGAGGCTATGGGAGGTCTCCACTTTGGTCATGTGACTGGAGCAGCCGCCCTGTCAGGCAAATCCTGGCAGTGTGGCGTCTGCTGCGGAGAGTGCTGTCAGGCTGAGCAGGCCAGGTGTTTCTGCTAGTTGCTACCAATCCCTATGATCTCAATAAAAGTTGCCATTTGCTGATTGTTGTCTCTTTGCCAGGTACTCTTGTGTAATATATACATTGGTGATTTCATTTAGAACTATAAAATAGTATTATATTAAAAATAGTTTCACTTGGGGCGAGTTGGCATTAAGCCAGTCTTTCACTGGTAAAATAGTAACACGTAGCTCTAGAGAGGGGCTAGCTTTATGAAGAGAAGTGACAGAGCTTTAGATCTGCTGGATTTGATTCAAGGTAGAGAACAGGTTTTGGACTTTCTGGCCTAGACAGCCTGTCTCCACAGGAACAAGGTGAGGAAGTGGCACCTGCCCAGTGCAGTTGTTTCTGCTGACCCGGTGCAGAGAGAGCACACTGGCATCAGCACAGTCTTGCCCGTTAGCTAATTACCATTACCTAATGCTAACAGGTGATCTTCAGTTTTTCTCGTTTTCCTGACCAGGCTATTTTCTCTGTAGTGCTTAGCAAGGTATCAGACAGGCACCCAAAGAAGGAGATCAGACATCAAGCCAGGGACAGAAAGGATTCCCTACGAGCCCAGCCAGAGGCCGGGCACCAGCCAGCCTGTCTATCCTAGTTTATGGCGTATCATCTCCACATGAGAAGCCAACGTTTCATTTCTGTTCCGCTCCCTTCCCCTGGAGACAACGCTGAGTACTCCAGTTCCCATTTCATGAGCACTGTGGAAACTGGACCTAACAATGAGAAAGTTCAGTGTGTGAAAATTTCCATTAATTGTTTAGCAGTTTTTGCAGAACAGGTTTCTTTAGGGATCATCATGTGATAAAGATGCAAGTTAAAACATTGATAACATTGTTTGAACTCACAAATCAGTGGTAAAATATTTACAGATGTTCGGTTGTTATGACTTTAGACACTGAAATATGAATTTATAAAACAGATCACACAGTGAATTTTGTTAATAATTACGGTGATCTTGATTACTGAAATAAAAACATAAACGTACTTAAGATAATGGGAAAGATATTTGAAAGGACCTGTGTCTGCAGTTTTTGTTTTCCAGCTTCACAAGTCCCCTTGTTCCAAAAATAAAACAAGGCGGTCTAGGTGTAGGCGGCTTGACTGTCCAGAGTTTGACAGCAAGTTAAGCTGCCGACAGGCAGGGCGCGCGCAGACTCACACTGTGTTCAGTTTCAGAATGGCTCCGGCTGCTGCCTTTCCTCGGGGTGCTCGCGCTGCTGGGCTACCTTGCAGTCCGTCCGTTCCTCCCGAAGAAGAAACAGCAGAAGGATAGCTTGATCAACATTAAAATACAGAAGGAAAACCCCAAAGTGGTGAATGAAATAAATATCGAAGACTTGTGTCTGACCAAAGCGGCGTACTGCAGGTGCTGGCGCTCCAAGACGGTAAGACGCCGCTGCGCGCTCTCAGACTGTACATTTACGCTCTTTTGCATCTTAAATCCCAGTCCTGGTGCTCTGTGAGATGAGAGGTTTTATCTTCATCGCTCAGCCAAGCTTGCATATTATGATCAACATTACCGATGCTAGAAAGGGAGAGAAGCGCGGAGGGTGGTGCTTTTCACCGCTCGCGGTAGCTGGCCGCAGGAGCACTTCCACATGCGCTGTGCTGGAGAGGAGTGGAGTCAGGATGTTCCGATCTGATGTCAGCCTCTCACAGCATGACTTTGGGTAACATTACTTAAATCTTTACTCTCTCGTCTTCAGGGTCATTTTTATTTTCTGGTGATCTATCCTTGTCACAGGCATTTTTGAGGGTTGATTTGAGTGAAATGAGGGCCTCTGATACATGTGGGACCCCGCTGGGGGCCGGGGATCGAACCGGCACTGCAGAGGCTGCAGGCAGCTTCTCAGCCCAGTGCTCAACTGCAGCGCCACCAGGGGAGGCCTTGTAATTATGATTCTTAATGTGGAAATTAACAAGGACTTTGGGGTGATGAGTATTGATCATTGATGAAATGTCTACTATTATAGAGGTCATTTGAGGTTTTAAATACAATAATGTTCATCACAGCATCCTTTGTTACAGCACATTTTTAGACTGACAGTACGGGACAGATTAACTCATGGTGTAAGACAAATGGGGTATTAAGAAGTGCTTAGATATCACATTTTTAATATTAAAAATATTTTTAAAAATATTTGAGAGTAATAACATGATGATGTAACATAAAAAGTGTATAATAGTATAACACCACTTTTTAAAATTCTTTGAATTTTATACATTTTTTACATCATTTTTCATTTTTGGACAATGTATGCATTTTCATCTTGGTTATAGTCCCCATACAATTCCCACCACCCTTATTTTGACCCTAACACACACACCCGCCCCCACCCCGTGTCTGGTTTATAGTTGCTTGTTGATTTTGATTTTTACTTTATTATAATTAGGTTTTTTCCTGGTGCCTTATTTAGATTTTCTAAATTCCTGCTATGAGTGAGACCATCCGGTATTATTCTTTTTCTTTCTGGCTTATTTCAGTGAGCATGATCCCTTCCAGCTCCATCCATGTTGTTGCAAATTGCATGAGTATAACACCATTTTTGTACAGAAAAAAAAGTAGATCAAATTGTTACCTGAATGAATTCTTTAAAATGTATTTTTAAGCTTTTTCAAAAATGTTAACAGTATGACTTTTATAGAAACACTTAAGAAAATACCATTTTGAATTCTAACTTTTTTGATGAGTCAAAATTTAGAGCTCCAGAGAGTTAAGAGCTTATTTTCTTCTTTTAAATCTGTTTTATTGACTCGTATATACCAAATAAGAATTAACTATATAAAATTGTTAGATTTTGACTGTAGATTTGAGACTGCCAGAAAGGAAGGGTAGGGCAGAGGAGCCCAGTGCACTCTGGGCCACTCTGGGGACTGTGGAGGTGGGTGTACTTTGGGGACATACAGGAGTGACCGTGTACTCTTGAGTCATACAGTGTTGTAAACCCATGTTACCTCAATAAAGATACAATTGAAAAAATACAGTAAAGTCGTTAGAGATTTGTTGTGGTATATCTATAATGCGGTATAATTGGAATGAGTTTAATTAAATGAATTGTAGACTATGTATCTATTAATCAGGAAAGCACTCTTGTGGTTATTTATTGTTTTTTTCCCCCCGAAGTAATAGGCTTTATAAGAGCATTTCACAAATACTTCAGCTTATTGAATCATTTAAAAATAACACATGCAACTCTTTTTCCTTTGTAGTTTCCTGCCTGTGATGGGTCACATAACAAACACAATGAATTGACAGGAGATAATGTGGGTCCACTAATATTGAAGAAGAAAGAAGTATAACAGTGATGAGTTAGGATTGAATTCAATTGTGCGCCGTAAACTCCTACAATATTTTTTCCTTTTTTGTGTATTGAAGATCTTTAATGTGGTAGTTTTAATTATTGCTACTGGTTGATAATTATTTCTGCCAATTAATTTTTGTGCTATAGTATGGTTTATATTTGCTACTTTGTATATTGTCATTTATATAGAAATTAAATCATGCAGCCCTTGTATTCTGACTTGAAAGAATTCATGTATACCTTCCTATAATAAAACCAATACTTGTAATTTTAATTAATTGAGAAAAACCTAAGTTTTTGACAATGGATCTACGGCTATTCCTTTGAATATCAGTATTTTCAACAGAATCTATACTTTAAAATGTTCTCCCTTTGCTATTAAATAAATTATTTTTCAGATTTCTTCTGTTTCAATCACTTGAAGTGTTTTTTTCCCCCTTTCTGGCCTCCCACACTCTGCTCTTTTTGGATCAGTAAGAAAAACATTGCTCTCAAGAATGACTTGAGTCTTTAAAGATGAACTTTATGCTTTGTGTAGATTGATATCTAATGTGAATTTCTCAATTTCAGACAAGATGTGAACTGGATATAAAAGTTCCAGTAAGAAACCGTTATTTATATTAGAAAAGACTTGTTTTCTTCCTATGAGACTTGTTTGTGTCTGTGCGGTGTGTACATTCATCTGTCTGACTCATAACAGCTGGAGGGGCGGCAAGAGCATGCCCACTTCAACTCCTGAAGGTCAACCAGAATAAAGCATATCTAAATTCGTGTTAAAACAGTGAGCTCAGCGTTCAAAACTGTGTTTTATGAACGTTGTTATCTTTATGGCAGTAAACCAATGAAGCCTAAAATACCTTTGCAAAATAGATTTTTTGAAGAGTCTTCAAAACCTTTGTATAATTTTTGGCCTGACAGCCTGTCCGTCTCATATGAACAGCTGTCCTCTCTCCTGTCCAGAGGCACTTCCTCTGCCGCCTGGCCTGGAGGAGGACACAGCAGACAGATGCTTCCCCCCAGAAGCCCTCAGCGCCTCAGCTACATGCCCCAGCTCTGCCCTGAGCACGGTGCCTGCGAGTCTGACTGTTACATGTGATGTCAAGAACTGCTGTTGTGTGAACCTGACTTTCTTGTGACGAACAGCAGGAATTTTAAAGTTAGAATTTGAAACATACTTGTGGTTTCTTTGAGAAGTTTTACATGGTTCACATCCAAAACTGTTGCCTCTTCTCGTCCATGAGTAGGGAGATTGGTGTGTGTTGCTCTGGCTTTGCTTCTGGGTGTTTTTTCCTAAGACCTTTTCAATACCCTTAAAGGACTTCACTGTCAGGAATAACAACTTCTTTTTCCATGGCTGATCTCAAGACTTTGGGAAAAATCCTCCTTACCAAAAGTGGATATCCTGTCCTGCACCAGGAAATACTTTTCTTTTAAAATCATTCACTACAGCTCACAACATGTTTTTAATCATATGCTGGTGCTTCCCATTCTTAAGTTACACAAGAGAAAGTAAAATTTCTCCTTCAAACTAAAACAAAATTATCAACTTTAAATTTTGCCAAGTGAGAATATTGTAAAAACTGAAAACTTTATCAAAGATTATAAATACCCCAAAAGTAAGGATTATACATTCAGAATAGTTTTTCCACCCTGCATTTTCAATTGTTAAAATATGTTGAACAGCTGTGCACAGTATTTTTCCACCTGTGCAAATTTTTCACAAGGGGTAGTATCAGTTGCTGTCATTTCTCTGTAAATTCAGAATTTACATGTCTGCCTTAAATAACTGCATCTGTATTGATATAAGATACGTTAGCTCTTTAAATACATATTTGGGGTTTCTAGAAGCTTCTGGAAATAGCCCTCGTGTTTCCATGACCTGTTGTGAAGAATTGGTTCCCCTTTCCCAGGAAACTAGTCACTGCCTCAGCAAGTAAGCTTTATGAAAAAAGAGGCATCCAAACTGTTGCGCAAGCTTGAGGTATTAATGATTCATTCATGTGGGTAGTTATGCAATTTGTACTGTGAAAAAAGCCCATTACAATTAAACTTTGAATTCAATGTCTCATCTGAAGATTCATTAAAACTACTCTTGTGTTTTGTAACCTAATCTGTTAATGAATTTATAGGAAGCTAATTATACCAACTGCTTATCTCTATGTTCAACTTTGCTGCAATCCCAGTCTCTTCTCCCCAAAGACAGGGTCTTTTCTCCAGTTTAACAAGGTTCTTAAATCATGGGGGGTATTTTATTTACTACTTACCAGACATCTCACTGTCCTGCACCCTCTCGGACCCAGATGTAGACCATCAGGTAAGTCACCATTGCTCACCAGCCTGACAGAGGAGCTGTACGTGGTATCCCTCTGTGGGGCTAAGCGTTCTCATGTCGCACCTGATTCTAACCAGGTAGGCCATCTGATTTCTGCTTCTGAACAAGGTGCAAGAATTGAAAGGGTCCTGCAGAGGCAGGTAAACAATAAAGTCTGACAGCTGACAGCAGGAGAGGGAACCAAAAACTAAACTGAATGTGTTACAAGCAGAGCCCCCAAAATCCTACCCACCACTGTGGACGAAATCATACTGGGGTGGTTTAGTTTAAATCAAGGTAAGATATACAGGACATTTAAGAAGGCCAGATAGCTGTTGCATTTGGGGACACCAATTTCCACTTCAAGTAGTTAAAAGCTTGGTACTTAAAATGGGTTATCCAGGTGTAAAATTTGTACAGAAAATACCCTGACACATTCCTTGATATTTGGAGGCTTTTCCATTAATAGAAAATTTTCCATTAATGAAAGCATTTTTCATGTTTAATGACTACAACTCACTATACAAATTGCTAAAGCAGGAGCAAAGCTAGATAAAGGAGCAGTGATTTAGATCACACGAGTCACACAGGTGACCTCCACTCCCCGCAGCAGCTGGCAGGGTCCGGCCCGTGACCCCCGGTAGCTGCTCCTTTCATCTTTGGCCTGAGGTTGCGCTTTAGTTTGTGAAGACAGACTATCAGCCACAACGTTAACAGTTTCCTAGTCTCTATTATAAGGCTGTACTTTTACAAAATAATACGGAAAAGGGAAAAGGTAATAAAACACCTAGTTATGGAGCTGATTACACAACTGTGAGGAAATAAAGACGTCCATGACTGTTCAGTCACTGAAGTCTTAACTGCCCATGGTTCTCCAGTGGTGTCCACCATGCACTGCTTTGCATGCCACATTGAAGACAGGGCCACAACATCTACTCTACAAATGTACGGAGCTTGAGACTTACAAGCAGTCTTCAGTTATGTTGAAGCTCCAAGAGGTGAAATAAGATCAAGACAGGAGGTGTTGGCCTTACTATAGCTGTGCAGCTACAGAGTAAATAAACACTGGAAGAAATGTAGGGCATGACTTCTTGGAAAAACAAATGACTGGATTTGACCCAAGATGAAATTCAAAATGTTAAGAGACCAATTATCAAATAATTTGAAATGTACTAAGGAGGCAAGAAAGGTAATTCAAATGTTATTTAAATTTTCCATATTTTTTTCAAAAGATTTTATTTATTTATTTATCTATCTATTTATTTATTTATTTATTTTATACATAGAAGCACTGGGTACAGTCAGAAGCGCGGGAGGGGGAGAGAATTCACCAGAGCCAGAGCGGGGAGCAGAGCAGGCAGAAGGACCAAAGTACACTGCTGAGGGGAGCAGCGGGCGGCAGGAGAGGTCTGCGCGCCATGTGGGACCCTCCTCCGGTGGGCGGGGAGCAGCCGGGGATCGAACCGGCACTGCAGAGGCTGCGGGCAGCTTCGCAACCCAGCGCTCAACCGCTGCACCACCGGGGAGGCCCAAAATTTTCCATATTTTTAAAAAAGGAACTCCCTGATTCATTTCATAAAGCTAGGACTAACATTAAGACCCTAATAATGAAATAAGACCCCCCCCAAAAAAACAGGCTTACTTCATATATTAGGATGAAAATGCTAAATAAAAATACAGCACTGTTTAAAAAGAAAGAGTAGTACACTATGTGAAAGAATTATATTTTAGGAATTCAAGAGTTTTGATTTCACTAACTTCGTTATATAACTGAGTCAAAAAAGAAAAAGAAACATGATGATATCAAGAGATAGTGAAGAGGCTAGTGCTAAGATTCAAGAGCCATTCCTGGGGAAACAGAAATGAAACTTATTTATACACAATTACGATTTATGAAAAGGCTACGTATAAAGTGATAACACTACTACTGTTAGGGGGTAGTAGGGAATAAGGGAGGGAGTTAGGGAGGATCCAGTGAAATGGATAAGATTAAAAACTGAAATAATCATTACAAACACAGGAAAACTGTTTATATGATCACATCCCTAGGAAATCCTAGAGATTAGTGAAAAAAAGTTGGATATTAGGTATTTTGAAACAAGGTGAATAAATAAAATATAATTTAAAACATCTTGAAATGCTAATGGGGAAAAAGATCATTCACAATAGCAAAAGAGAAAAAAAGAAAAATATATTTACCAAGAAAGGTACAAAACTAATACCAAAACTACAAAAATGTTACTGAAAGTAATTGAACAAGATTTTAACACATGAAAAAAATCACCATGGTAAAAATGTAAATCTCTTAAAATTAATATACAAGTTCAATAAAATTCACATTAGAAGCATAAGAGCATTTAAAAGTTGAATTTAAATTATTGTAAGCTTCATTAGAATAGTCAGAAAATTCTAAGTAAAAAAAGACTAGGGAGAGGAACTTCATTCACTGGTTATCACAGATAGCATTTATTATGAAGCTTTGGAATCAACCTAAATATAAGAAAAACAACTGCGTTAAATAAGACTAAACAAGATTGGCAGACACTGGGATGGAGACACTGGGAGCAGCGGGCGAGGCAGGAGAGGTCTACTCCCAGTGTCTTCAGTCCATCTGCCTGTTCTCCTCTTTGCTCTCTCTGGTGAATTCTCTCACCCTCCTGCACCTGACCTGTACTCCAGTTCTTCTATGAATAAATCAATCTTTTTTTTTTTTTTTAACAGCTTTCCACAACGGTTGGTCCAGTTTGCACTCCCGCCAGCAATGTAGGAGAGTTCCTTTTTCACCACATCCTCGCCAACATTTGTTGCTTGTTTTTTTTGTTTGTTTGTTTTGCTTTTTGGTTTATTTTATTTCATTTTATTTAAATTTTATTTTTATATTCCCCTTACAATTACAACCCCCTTATTTTGACCCCAAGCCCTCCTTTCCCCGCCCCCACCCCCCATAGAGTGTCTCTGGTTCATAGTTGTTTGTTGATTTTGATATTTTCTTTCTTATAGTTATTCTTTTTCGTGGTCCCTTATTTAAGTTTTCTAGATTCCTGCTATGAGTGAGACCATCTGGTATTTTTCTTTTTCTGGCTTATTTCGCTGAGCATGATCCCTTCCAGCTCCATCCACAAAGAAATGGAAAGACATCCCCTGCTCATGGATTGGAAGAATAAACATTATTAAAATGGCCATCCTACCAAAAGCAATATACAGATTCAATGCTATTCCAATAAAAATTTCAATGTCATTATTCAAAGAAATAGAAAAATTATTGATGAAATTCATATGGAATCACCAAAAACCCCAAATAGCCAAAGCTCTCCTGAAAATAAAGAAGGGAATGGAGGCATCACACTCCCAGACTTCAAACTATACTACAAAGCCATAATCATCAAAACTGCATGGTAGTGGAACAAGAACAGACACATAGACCAATAGAATCGAATAGAAAATCCAGAAATAAACCCACAGATTTATGGTCAACTAATCTTTGACAAAGGAGCAAAGAATATGCACTGGAGCAAAGAAAGTTTGTTCAATAAATGGTGCTGGGAAAACTGGGTCGCTACATGCAAAAGAATGAAGCTTGACTACTACCTCACACCATGCACAAAAACCAACTCAAAATGGATTAAAGAACTAGACATAAGACCTGAAACCATAAAATACATAGAAGGAAATATAGGCGAAACACTACATGACATGCACATCAAAGACATCTTTACAGACACATCACCCAAAGCAGTGATAGTGAAGGCAAAGATAAACAGCTGGGACTACATCAAATTAAAGAGCTTCTGCACAGCAAAAGAGACAATAACAAAAACAAAGAGAAACGCCACCGACTGGGAGAACATTTTTGCACACAACACTAATGATAAAGGACTGATCACAAAAATCTACAAAGAGCTGATGAGACTCAACAAAAACAAAGAAATAATCCAGTCAAAAAATGGGCAGAAGTGGAGCCTCCCCTGGTGGCGCAGCGATTGAGCGCTGGGCTGCGAAGCTGCCTGCAGCCTCTGCAGCAACGGTTCGATCCCAGCCACCAGCGAGGGTCCCACATGGCGCGCAGACCTCTCCTGCCACCCGCTGCTCCCCTCAGCAGTGTATTTCGTCATTCTGCCTGTTCTGTTCCCTGCTCTGGTTCTGGTGAATTCTCTCACCCTCCCGCGCTTCTGACTATACCCAGTGCTTGTATAAATAAATAAATAAATCTTAAAGAAAAAAAAAAATGGGCAGAAGAGCTAAAAAGAAACTTCTCTAAAGTGGAAATGCAAAGGGCCAACAGGCATATGAAAAAATGTTCAACATCACTTGCTATCAGGGAAATGCAAATCAAAACTACAATAAGATACCATCTTAAACCAGTGAGAATGGCACATATTAAAAAAACTAGCAACAACAAATGTTGGCGAGGATGTGGAGAAAAAGGAACTCTCCTGCACTCTTGGTGGGAGCGCAAAATGGTCCAGCCACTGTGAAGATTCCTCAACCTGCTAAAGATGGAGCTGCCATATGATCCAGCAATTCCACTCCTAGGTATTTATCCAAAGGGCACGGAAACATTAATTCAAAAGGGCACCTGTGCGCCTTCCTGGTGGCGCAGCGGTAGAGCGCTGGGTTGTGAAGCTACCCACAGCCTCTGCAGCGCCAGTTCCATCCCCGACCACCAGGTGAGGGTCCCACATGGCGCGCAGACCTCTCCTGCCGCCCGCTGCTCCCCTCAGCAGTGTGTTTTGTCAGTCTGTCTGTTCTGCTCCCTGCTCTGGCTCTGGTGAATTCTCTCACCCTCCCACGCTTCTGACTGTACCCGGTGCTTGTATAAATAAATTAATTAATCTTTAAAAAAAAAAATAAAAGAGCAATGTTTAAAAAAAAAAAAAAGGGCACCTGTACCCCTATGTATATAGCAGCACTACTTACAATAGCTAAGCTATGGAAACAACCCAAATGCCCAAAAATAGATCAAGAAGATGTGGTACATATACACAGTGGACTACTACTCAGCAATCAAAAAAGATAAACTCATGCAATTTGCAGCAACATGGATGGAGCTGGAAGGGATCATCCTCAGTGAAATAAGCCAGAAAGAAAAAGAAAAATACCAGATGGTTTCTCTCACACATAACAGGAATTTAGAAAACCTAAATAAGGGACCAGGAAAAGACTAATTATAATAAAGTAAAAGTCAAAATCAACAAGCAATAATAAACTAAATATACACTACTGGGGGGAAGAGGGTGGAGGAGGAAGTAGGATCAAAACAAGAGGGGGTGGGAATTGTATGGGAATTATAACCAAGATGAAAATGCATACATTGTGCAAAAATGAAAAATAATGTAAAAATATATAAAATTTAAAAAATAATAATAAATAAAGGCGGTATGTTTTATTCCTGTCTTTTTTTTTTTTTTTTTTTTTTGCAGATTTATTTATTTTATTTATACAAGCACTGGGTACAGTCAAAAGCACAGGAGGGTGAGAGAATTCACCAGAGCCAGAGCAGGGAACAGAACAGGCAGACAGACGGAGGACACTACTGAGGGGAGCAGCAGGCGCGGCAGGAGAGGTCTGCGGGCCATGTGGGACCCTCACCAGAGGCCGGGGATCAAACCGCTGCGCCACTGGGGAGGCCTTATTCCTGTCTTTTTTTTTTTCTTGTAATCTTTATCAATGAATTACGAAATGGATGGGGAGTGAACTCTCCTGCTGGGGAACAGCGGCTCTTACCTTCCTGGCACCAGCTTCATTTCACCTTGCATTATGCTTAGCTTGTATTATGACACAAATCCAGCCTCATGGATGACTATGTTCCTGAAATATGTAAATACTAAGAGTGCATTCTACATTGTTATTAACTTGGGAATCAAAAAATCATATGAAAGCTCTATAGAGAAATAACATATTTATTAAATCCTTGGTTCTATATACAGGCTTCACATATTTGTACCTTTTAATTTTTCTCTCGTTTAAGAGAATGCATTAAAAGCAGCAGGCAGGTGATGCAAATAACCTTAATGAAACGTTGATCCTGACCAGTCTGTCTTGACAAGGCTTGGATTGTGGTGTGTGAGAATTCTGGTGCCCAGGATGCTGATGAACAGAGCTCCGTTTGGGGCTGTGATCAAGATGGCTAGAAAGGCTACTGTCATCACATGCTGCGAGTACATTTCCAAGTGGGGCGCACTGGCTCTTGCTGTTTCTAGAGCGAGAGGACCTAACACAGCCTGTGTTTGGGGAGGAAAGATAAGTCATTAAGGGAAATGTCAAACATAGCATATAATAAAAGTAAATGGCTCTGTCCAAATAAACCTAGCATTAGACTATCAGAAGAGAGAGGAGATAAAGCACCGAGGAATTCTCATGAATCACTCAAATCTGTGTTCTTCCTCGCCACGTAATTCAGTGGAAGGGAAAGTGACAAATCAGCAGGTGGACTGGTGAGGCTGACTTTGTGTTCTTTCATGTCGACTTTCCCTGGGAGGGAGAGCTTTGCTGTCAGACTTTACCATGAACCTCTGGAGTCTTGGCCACAAGACGACAACACAAAACAAAACATTACGCTTTCTTGTGGCTCTCCAGATTTCTGTTGCTAATTTTATTGTTTCCCTACATGGGAGACTGAGGAACATAGTAAAACTGACAAGAAATCAGGGAGTCTAGCAAACGGGGTTTCAATTCTAGTTTTGTACAACCAGGTAAGTGACCTTTACAAGTGACTCAAGCTGTCCAAGCTTCTACTTGGTTACTTATAAAATGAAAACATAGTATTACCTCGCTGGATGGTAATGATGATTAAATAGGTTAATGCAAAGAATAATAGGCATTCACATGCTAGTAAGTTTCTCTCCCTACTCACCCCTCTCCCTGTGCCAGTCAGGGAATGAATTCCTTTGAATTCTTTGTTTTAGAATAACCCTAACGGGCCACAGGATTTCCCCCAGTCATCTTCTAGCAGATTTGCTTTTAATAACATAAAGTAAATATCCTATTGATCCTTTTCTTCTATTTATTAACCTAAGCATGAAATTATCTTAAATTCTTCAGAGGTTAACTACAAATATATAATCGTCCGTGGAGTTGCAAAATAACACCATAATGATGGAAACATTCCCTCTCATATGTGACATTATCGCCAAAGAACCCCTCAATTTACAATCACGCTCCATATTTCAAATTACTGATTAAAAGTTGTATAGTTTGATGTAACTTCTTGTTAACTGAACACAAGGAGTATGCTAGATGATGGGAAGAAAAAGATAGACAGAAAACCATCTTCAACAAATCTAATAGTTCAGAAGACTTAAGCACCAAAGAGCTGCCCCAAAACCCACTGACTTTTAACAGAGGATGACAATGATAATGGTGGCACTCACAAGAGTGATGCTCATGGAGTTTGACAGCATCTACCACGTGGCAGTTATTGGCTCACTTAATCCACATGGCAACGCTATGTGACATGGGGACTCCTGTTACATGATAGATGATGAATGATTTCTAATAACTGAGAATTATTATTTTATTAGAAGAATCCAGTTAGTAAACTGATCTTACATTTGTGAACTAAATTATTTCTCCTCTTAATATCGTCCCTCTTCCACTCTAGTTTTTACCAGTATTCTTACACAGAGGAAAGGACTAAACTGTAGCCAATTCTATATCAGCAGCAGAGAAAGAAGGAAGGGGATGAAGGTGAAAAATCACTAGATTTGAAACTTAGTTATTTGTTGACCCTTGCAATGTAAAGATAATTGTAGATCCAGCTCATTTGTGACATTATCATCATCTGCTGTGGTCGTGACTCAATTGTACAAGAAATTAATTTTCTGTCTTGCCAGAGCCTAGAATGACCTTCTACTCATGGCACAGAGTAAGCCTGAGCCCAACAAATAGGGGTAGAAGCAGACGAAAGTGCAGGACCTGAGTGGGGAGGCTCCTGCCTCAAGCCTCCTTTTCTTTTCCCCTGCTTTATGGAAATTATGAAATAATAAAACAAAATCACATGTAGTGTTGGAAGGAGAGAGACAAAAGAGATACACACTGCTTATAGATTATTTCCTACAGCAGGGATTAAAAATAAAACTTATTGTTTATATTAACTGAAGGCAAACAACAGCAAAACTGTAACAGACTAGTCAAGCACTTCATGTGGAGAGTTCCTTTAATCCTCAAAATACCTGTAACAGACACAACCACACGCCTCTCTGTACAACAAGGAAATGCTCTATACAACAAACATAAAAATTACAGGCAAGTAAGTATCTAAAACAGGCACTTGGCTCCTTGGACCTGTTCTTCTAACCATAACACATAGAAGATTTTGTCTCATGGAAACTCACAGGTTTCTGTTTTGGAATAACACCGGAAAAAAGAATCTCAGGAAATTAAGACATTATGTTGCCAGGATAAAGTCTCTAAAGATAAGTAGCACAACATTTTAGTAGGAGAAGCATATCATTGAATTAAAGAGCAAAACTAGCAGGTCTCTCATTCATTCATCATTCTTTCTTGTACGCTTCAATGCTTACTAATTGTAAACATTAACTAAAATACTTATTGTAAGCACCTCTTATGTGGCAGACACTATTTTAATTACCAGGGAAAAAAATTAGAAACTGAACATGTCCTTCCCATACAGTCTAGTGGAGAGGTTCAGACATTAGTCAAATACTTACACAAATGAAATGTATTAATTTAAAATAACGTGCACTCATGTGTGGGGAGTGGGTAGCAGGAATAGGGAACATATATTTTTAAAAGAATCAATGTGTCTCCAGATACTTTAACATCATAACATTTCGTTCTATAATACTTAGCAAAATGTAAAAATTACAGTATTCATATATGCTTTTGTTATTTTTTTTGCATGTAGAAGAACTGGGGTGTAGGCCAGCCATGCATGGGGTGAGAGGTGCAGGGGTGGACAGAGTGGAGAGCAGAACAGGAAGATCTACTGAAGCACACTGCTGAGGGAAGCAGCGGGCAAGACAGATGAGGTCTGCTGCACCATGTGAGTCAGCTCCCTGGCTGAATTGAACTCTGGCCAATGCGGTGATAGTGCCGAGACTTAACCCTTAAGCCACTAGGGAGGTCCCTCATATATACTTTAACTTGTATTTTAGGAAGATAAAAATTCTTTTCATCAATTTAGTATTTGTCATTAAAAGTACATTTTTCAACTCAGTGATCAAAAAGATTAACTCATACGTTGTTTTGGGGCAACACAGATGGAGCTGGAAGGGATTATATTAAGCGAAGTAAGCCTGAAGGAAAAGATAAATATTGGATGGTTTCACTTAGATGTGGAACATAGAGAAAAGGAACAAAGGGTCAGGAAAACGACAAAACTTGCAAGCTGACCATAGAATCTGAGGCCTACAGCAGGGGAGGAGGTGGGAGAGGACCAGAACAGGGAAGGAAAGAGCACAAGGGATGGTGGGAATGGATGGATCATGGGGACAGTGGTGGGGGGAGAACCACAGGGACAACACCTGAGGGGAAAGACCAAACACTGTCCAAAAATTAACAATGATGTAAGAAAATAAATGAATTTAATAGAAATATAAATAAAAGTACATTTTTCAATTTAAAATATAAAATGATTGGTAATTATAGTGAGTAGTTATAATCAATTATTTTTTTACCCCCTACCCCAACCAAACAGTTTAAGGCTAACAGCCTACAATTTGTGATTGTAGTTAACAGTTTCCATTTAAAAAATCATCAACTTTAAAAGTATTAGAATGACAATATATTCTCACCTGGACGGTAGCTTTAGGTATCCATGCTAAAGCAATAAATATTTTCTCCTTAAAACTAAAACCAGCAAAAGATGAAATTACAAATGTGAAAGAGATTCGAACCAACAACGCCAGGGTTATGGACGCAGCACAAATGCCTGCAACAGTGAAAACAAGCACAGTCAACCAGGAATCGGGGAAGGAGTTTTCATGCTCAGAGATAGGATTTGTAAAAGTACTGAAAGCATTTTAAGGCTAAGCTTCTTTATGTCTTTGTTTTTTAAGTAAATATAATAATCATAAAGAATATAAATGATTGACACGTCTATGAAAAGTGCAAGAGATTACTGGATAGTGGTGGTAATATGAAAAACAAGATAGATTACATGTATTCAGTTCGGGGATGACTTTGACTTCTATTATGAAGTCAAAGTATGAAAGCATTCCAGAGATGCTGCTGGTATCTACTATCTTCCCTCAGGAAAGGATCAGTGTCCATTTCCTTAGGCTGCTGGGGGAAGACACTCAGGGCTGCCTGTGGTGAAGGTCTGAGAGCACGTGTGTGCTCCTGCGTCAGCATGCATGTCTCAAGAGGCTTGTGAATGACTCAAAGACATAAATAAAAAAATGATTCAGAGTTTTCTTAAATATTTCAAAATCATGTTTTATTCCTCTAATCATTCTTACCAATAGCATTATTTCTAAGAGATGCAACAGATACTTCCCAGCCAACCAAACCAAAGAGAAGGGGCTGAAAAACATTCCAAGTTTTTGCTATAATGATTTGGACTTTAACCTGTAGACAAAGAAATACATTTTTAGTTACTATAGCACATAAAAATAACTATTTCAGAAACTGAAGGTCTTTCTTAGAATTTAATAAACTTAGTTTTATTTTAAGAAAAAAGTTTAAAACAATAAAAATTAGTAAAGGTTAGTTCTTGTACTCAAACACCAAGTAGAATTTGATTAAAAAATATCTACAAAGTTATAAAATAAAAATATTAGTTGGTAATTTTGACATGGATCAACTAAGGTCTTCGGAGTTCCAGATGGGTCCTATGGTTCCGTAAGAGATGCAGCTTTTGACTGGAAGGCGGCTCAGAGAGACAGAAAGAACTGCACTGTACCTGACGAAAATATGCTCAAGTTCATGCAGGCCTGTTAGCTCTCAAGAGGGAGCTAGGGAGACCTCTACTAACTGTTTCACAAGAGTCCTGACATTTTCCAAGTTAGCAGGAAACACTCTGGTGAGCCTGTATGGCCTGCTTCCAATGGACCCATGTTGAAACTTCAAAGTTGCTGTTTTCTTAAAAATCAAACCAAAATGGGGCCTCCCCTGGTGGTGCAGCGGTTGAGCATTGGGCTGTGAAGCTGCCTGCAGCCTCTGCAGCGCTGGTTCGATCCCCGGCCACCGGCGAGGGTCCCACATGGCGTGACAGACCTCTCCTGCCGTGCCCGCTGCTCCCCTCAGCAGTGTATTTTGTCAGTCTGCCTGTTCTGTTCCCTGCTCTGGCTCTGGTGAATCCTCTCACCCTCCCGTGGTGCTTCTGACTGTACCCAGTGCTTGTATAAATAAATAAATAAATAAATCTTAAAAAAAAAAAATCAAACCAAAATGTGTAATAGATTGTTATTTGGTTGCCTGCCCATCTTCCCTTCCTGGGAACAAAGCCCTCCCAGTGCTACTTCCTCAATTAGGTGGCTATATCAAAGGGCCTTACTGACATAACAGCAGTCTGCCTTGTCTCCAGGATTTGCATGAAGATATTTTAATATTTTGGGCGGGCTTATCATTTTTTTACAGAAGACATCTAAAAGTTAATATCCTTCATTTGGAGGCAAAAATTATCTACATAACTATTTCTCTATAACTGAGTTTTCTGATTGCCATTTATGAAAGTAGGAAGGGAAAAAACAGTATTATTCTTCCATACAACACATTATTCTGCTTTTTAATTTTAATCCTTAGAATCTATTCTTTACTGTTTGATTGATATTAACACATAAAAATAATTCTAGTAGTTTTCATGTTATTTACCAAATTGTTATTCATTATTTACCATTTATTTTGTAATTACGATTTTATGGAAAACTAAACAAATGCCAATATGACTCTTGGGTAGGGAAATGTCTCAGGGTGGGTAAGAACAGACAATGAATAATTATAATGAAGAATCTTTTCTATTCATATTACATTTGAGGCATAAAACTACATTGATTTAAAAGAAAAATATTGGATGGTTTCACTTATAGGAGGAATGTAGAGGAACCAAATAAGGGATCTGGAAAAAAAATAACTATAATAAGGTAAAAATCAAAATCAAAATCAACAGGCAACCATAGACCAGAGACATTCTGTAGGGGAGGAGGAGGGTGAAGGTACAGGACAGAGGTGGGAAGAGCACAAGAAAGGGACTATGGTGATGGTGTACAGGTGAATTGGTGGTGGGAACTTCACAGGAAATCATACATTGTACAAAAATGAAGGATGATGTAATAAATATAAATATATATAAATGATAATAAAAATGAAATCAGAACACATACAGATAATCAAAAAATAAAAAAATATATAGAGTGGTATTGCACAGGAAAAGTTAAGTAGGATTAAGCAGATCCCAGAAATGAATTAACATACATGTGAGAATTTAGTTCATGTTAAAAGAGGCATATAAAAATGAGTGAGTAATTAATAGCCAATATAAATAACTTGGCCAAAAAATGATTAGTCAATGTCTATGCATCTAAATGCACATCTGTAGCTATCTAATGTGTGTGTTCAGAGATGTATGTCTGTGAATACATACACACATTACACATAAACACAGACACGAAAACCCTTGACCACAGCACTCACAGAAATTCCAGATGGGCGAAAGAATGAAATGCAAAAACAAAACAAAAACTACCACATGTTAGATATATACAAAATATTGTACTATTTATAATCATATTATCATTGGTAAAGTAATCCTTCTTAAACAAGATACAGAATCCAAAACCAGAAAAGACAAACTGACAGGTTTGACTACAGGAAAACCTTACTTTCATGTAAAAGATACCATAAAGTTGAAGATAAGCAAAAATTATCTGCACCGTACACATACCAGGAGATGAGTAACCCTAACATACAGAAAAACTGTACAGATTAAGAACAAAAAGGCAGGGCCTCCCTGGTGGCGCAGCGGTTGAGCGCTGGGTTGCAAAGCTGCCGGCGACCTCTGCGGCGCCGGTTCGATCCCCGGCTGCTCCCCGGCCACCGGAGGAGGGTCCCACATGGCGCGCAGACCTCTCCTGCCGCCCGCTGCTCCCCTCAGCAGTGTACTTCGGTCCTTCTGCCTGCTCTGCTCCCTGCTCTGGCTCTGGTGAATTCTCTCACCCTCCCGCGCTTCTGACTGTACCCAGTGCATGTATAAACAAAACGAACGAACAAACAAACAAATAAAAAAAAAAAAAAAACATGCCTCTATAAGAACAAAAAGGCAAATAAGCTAATTAAAAATGGGCAAAGAGTATAACAGGTAGTTAAAAAAGAACATATTAATAGAACTATACTCTATGCAGCAAAGAAATTAAGTAAAAAATAAGGTTATATAGTTTTTTACCCATCAGATTTTGTAAAAGCTATAATTATGGACAATATCCAGCATTTCTGATGAGTTGAGGGACTAGGGTCTCTTCTGAACTGTTGGTGGCAGAGTAAATTTAAAAATATCCTCTGAAGGGATAATTGGCAGTACCCATCAAAATAAATAAACATATTGTTATGGAGCAACCCGATACAAAATGGGTTGCCTGGCTGTGGGTCCTCACCCGCTTAAAAGGGACTTACTAATACTCCACTACAGACACACACAAAAGGTTAATAAAGGTTTATTTACAAGGGGAAGGGAATTAAGAAAATGTACAAGTCAGGGAGAAAATAGGGAAATAAAGTCTTTAATGCGTCCTACCCGATCCGCTGACCTGGAAACCCAAAGGCATTCTCAGAGCTGGCCCCTCCGCTGCGAGCTGGCGGAGAGCCAAAATGGGGGATCGTCTCCAAAGCCCACGTGTCTGGTCTTATACCAAACCTGGCTGCTTAACCCCATCCTCCTCCGGTCCCAGTCACCTTCCCTTTGGTTGGGTGGTGATGGGATTTGGAGTTCCCAGTGTCTTTTGGCTCTGGTCTGAAGTGGGGGTGGAGTCCACAAAGCCTGTATGGAATTAGCTTTAGGACATCCTTTTTCCCCTAACAATACCATTTCTAAATCTAGCAACTCCACTGCTAGGAATTTTTTAACATAAAAGTACTTGGATATTTACAAAAAGACACATAAGCAGAACTGTTCATGGCAGCATTGTTTGTAATCACCAAAAAATGGAAATGATCTAAATGTTATACCGCATTAAAACTCAGGGCAAAGGAAGAGGCGTGATGTGATAATTCAACTTCTGACTGCATTTTACTGTATTTCCAGGTACTTTTCTTAAATATTTTATTTCCTGGATTGATTCACTCACTTTCTTGAAAACACAAACTTTGCAAACATCTTTCAACTAAAAAAAGGAGATTTTATAAATGTCCCTTACAGATATGTAAAAGTGCAGTGATTTAACCTTTTCAAAGGGTGATGTGTCACAAATAGTCACCTTTTCTTTGGACCAATGTATCCCCGAAGAGAAGGTCAGCACCAGGCTGCACAGCCCCCCAGCGGCGTGTAGACCTGAGCGATGGCTGCCCAGGACGACAGAGACACCCATGCTCAGCACCAGGAATGCTCTCTTCAGGGCAAGGTCTGTCTAGAAATAGACAGAAACAGATATTAATTTACATTACAAGCACAAGATTTATATGATCTGTTATTCCTTACTGACTCATTGATTCCATGTCTATACCTTATATTAAATAATGTCTAAAATTTTTTTTTTTTTAATTTTTTTTATAGAGGCATGTTTATTTATTTGTTTGTTCTGTTTACACATGCACTGGGTACAGTCAGAAGCGCGGGAGGGGGAGAGAATTCACCAGAGCCAGAGCAGGGAGCAGAGCAGGCAGAGGGACCGAGGTACACTGCTGAGGGGAGCAGCGGGCGGCAGGGGAGGTCTGCGTGCCATGTGGGACCCTCCTCCGGTGGCCGGGGAGCAGCCGGGTAGCGAACCGGCGCTGCGGAGGCTGAGGGCAGCTTCGCAACCCAGCGCTCAACCGCTGCGCCACCGGGGAGGCCCTAATGTCTAAAATTTTGACATTTTTCCTCACCAAATAGTTTAGCAGACTTGTACCAAGTGACAATACTTGGAATTATTGACTTTCATCTCCTGCCGTATCTCTGATACTAAGGCCAGTAAAATGGTTGTAATACTTTACCTATAAGTGAAGAAGGAAGGAAATAGACCCATATAACCTGCAGTCCATATAAGACATTCAATATAGTTTTCAAAATAAACTTCTGAGTCTCTCCTTAGCCAAGATACTGTTACAGGGAAATTAAGTTGGAAATTACAGAAATATAAAAGTAATGGCACATCCTCTAGGGCAGGGAAGAGTTGCGTTTAACAGTGTTGAAAAATCAAAGGGAATGGGAATCAGTTTAAATGGGAACATATACAGAGATAAAGGGGAATCCTTTCCCTCAAAAATGTTCAAAGTAAAGATTGAGGGGAAAATGATTAGGGAAATCTTTTTCCTGATAGGATGAGTCCTATCAGAAGTCCTCAATCACAATTTAGTGAAGAAAGGGGTGGAGTGGGTAGGAGAGGGCACTCTGGTTTTAGCGCAGTCTTCTGATATTCCCTGTTATTTAAGCCAGGAAGCAGAGACTGCCATCAAGACCACTGATTTGTATCAATCACAGCCATGCTTGGTGTAAGGAGAGAGTAGGCATTGGGGGCTACTTTTGGGCAAAGGGAATTTAAACATTAAATTTAGTATTTCAAGGATCTTCCAAAAGGTCAAGTTTCTGCAAGAAATATCTAATACTATATTTCATTAAAAAAAAATCTGTATTTTTCAGTTTACCTGATCTCTACTTGGAAAATATCGCAGAAACATTCCCAAAACAGCTCCTACCAGCACACCAATAAATACGTCCCGACAAGAGAATAAGAGATTACGAAGCACACCACCTGTCAGGGCACACAAAGTGAGGAACACATTTCACCACAAAATATTTTCACACACCCGATAGATGGGAAAATCAGATCTAGGTGGCTCATAAAGAAAGGTAAGTATTTTATAGAATATACAAATATGGACCTTAAATATTTACATATGGGAGAACATACACAGATCTATTTGATAAATTAAATATGGACTTTCAGATAACTTAATATATACGCACAAATCAGAAATGTACATAGAATACGTAGGCCACAACACAAAGAGGAAGTCACTATGGTGCTCCCCTAATGCACCCAACCTAAAAAGACCAGGTGGGGGGAAGAGGAAGGGACAGAGAATGACAAAGGAACACCCCCGGCACCCAGCATATCTATGGTTGGTAATGTTTCTTTTCTGATGTACTATTATGACAAAGAAAAAGTAATTTAAACATAAGAAATTTTTAATAACAATAAAAAGATTTATTCCTGGGTCAATCCAAGGAATATTCAAGGGTCAACTTTTAAGTATATATACATATATTTTATGTATCCCTATGTTTTACTGTAAAAAGTTAAATAAAATGATCCTGAGTCACAAAAAGCTTATGTCCTGTATCTTTAGCTCAGTAAGGGTTGTAAATACATATATTTTTCTTTATTAGAAATGATTTTCGATGAAAATTACCAGAAATGGAGCATCACAAGAGCAAGATGGTGGAATGGGAAGACCCAGAACACCAATCCCCCACAGAGGCACCTGTGTAACATATATAGCCCAAGAATTTTTATCAGACTCCACAAACCAATTTAGAAGTTGCAGTACCACAGGTAAGCTCCACACCAACAGTAGCGGTAGTGAGACAAGCAAAGGAGCCACATTATAGCAGTGATGGCCGTTCCCAAGCCACCACGACTGGGGATAATAAGGAGCAATTGCCCAACTTCTGGAGACCCTCAGGAGGGAAAGAAGACCGGAAGAGAAGTCTAGCAGTCGAACTTTGTGGGAGGCTGGCCTCTGTCTTGCTTGCCTCAGAACTGGCATACGTGGATGCTGTGGGCTGAGGAAAGCAAAGAGGAGCTTGGAGGCTTGCAGCACCAGACCACTTGCAGCACTGCAGGCTGGCAGCCGAGGAAGCAAGTGGCCACCAGCTTGAGAAACTGGGAAATTCCACGCAATGCCCAGAGAAGATGCATCTCCAGAGAAGCCTGAGAGCCTGCCTAAATGTCAAGCCACACTGTCTGATGGAGGTTTTCTCCTCTATGAAACTAGTCTGTAAGATTGAAAAATTAATAGTTTTTCAAATGCCACCAAATCCCACAAAACAATGACACATATGAAAAAAGAAAGTAACACAGCCAAATCAAAGGAGCAAAATAGATCACCAGAAACTGATTATAAAATGTGTACATACATGCATTACCTGATAAATAATTCAAAATATTATGGGGTCAACTTCAAATGTCAACAGATTAATTATAATGCAGCCAATGCAATACTATACAACCACTAAACATGCCATAGAAATGTGTTTACTGAAAAGAAACGTATGTGATACACAGTTAAGTGCAAAACAACTTAGTTTAGAAGAAAGTATGATCAGTAATTTTATAAGATAGGAAGGGGGAGGAAAAGAGGGAGTGGGAAGAAAGATGAGGAGGAGGTGGAAGGATTTCTCCTTCCTCCTGGTCGTCCTCTAGGTAGATTTACATCAAAAGATTCAGAATCATTCTTGGGAGGATGATTACTGCAGATCTTATTTCTATCTTTCCCCTGGTTTCCTTATTTATTTATATCTTATGGTTTTAAGAGAAACTATAAATACTACTTTTCAATTTAAGATATTTTGATGCTTCAACAAAACAGAATACTGAACTTCAAACACTACAGAAAACAAAAGCATTACTAAATGTAGGAATGTTTACGTCACAGTATCTGCAGTGACACCCAAGACCAAATGTCAAATTCCAAAGAAAATGGAAACACTAATTGGAAAAGACAGATGCACTCCTATGTGTACGTACACACACACACACACACACACACACACACACACACACGATTACTTATTAGCAATGAAAAACAATAAAACCTTCACATTTGCAACACCACCAATGGACCTTGAGTGTATTATGCTAAAGGCAGTAAGTCAGACAGAAAAACACAAAGAAGCATGATGCCAATTTTATGTGAATTCTAAAAACCAAAACAAAGGAGCAAAGAAAACAAAATCTAGCTCACTGACGTGGAGAACAGGCTGGTGGCTGCCAGAAGGAAGGGCACAGTGTGGCAGGTAAAGGGACGAATGGGGTCAAGAAGCACAAACTTCCAGTTATAAAATAAATAAGGGATATAATATACAATGAAATACTGAATCATTAGGTTGTGCACCTGAAACTCTCGACACATAATGCCATGTGTCAATCACACCTCAAAAAATCCCAGCAAAACCCAAATATCACTTTGGGATTCACAAGTATTGCAGGATGTGGTCCTACTAGTGCTGGAAGAGCACTTAGCTGTCCAAGCTTTCTCTATTAAGTTGTCTTACTAAAAGAGCAACCAGTATTTCGTAATGATAGTCAAAAAAGTACACTTCAAAAATATCTATTAAATGTATCAGTAGTACTAATAACAGTACTGCTTAAATTTTTCTGTTGAAGAATGTGATAAAATTTCAGAGCAATGGGATCAGATAAAGAGTCATAACATGGGTTTTAAATCAACTGAAATATGTGGTGTTACAACAAAATTATTTGTGTTAAGTAGTGGTTTCCAAATGAAATTTCTTCCCTGGCCTACAGTGAGCTTTGTGCAAAGAAGAAGATGTTAAATGAAGAAGTCTTGGTTAGTTAAAGCAGTAAAGTCAGAATCGCAGTCTAAAGGACTACCGAGGGCAGCAGAGGCAGGCAGCCGCCGCACTTTCCGTTTACCTGAGGAGAACACTATGCTGTAGCATGTATTGAATCCAGTGATAGCCACGATGTCATCCACACTGCTAGCGGCTATCAGTACGGTTGGAATGCCTTTCTTAATACCATATCCTCTTTCTTGCAAAAGGAGCATGGAAGGGACAACAATAGCAGGAGAGACAGCACCTACTACAAAACTGAAAGAAAGACTCTGAAAACCAATTTTAAAATATCATTTTAACCAAACAGAGTTCTACAAGCTTTACAACAAATACATTAACTATTACAATAATTTCAAATGTAAAAATTCTGCTTTTGAGTGAGTCATACAATGGAGATAAAATTTTCATTCTCTTCAGCACTGACTAAAATTTTACAGATTTCATTCACCATGTGGGGCTGAGCTCAAATTGCAGCCTCCCCGCCATTCCTAAACCCACTGAAGTGAAATAGTAAATATAATAGGAAAGTCCATAACCTAACTAGAAGACAAAGGGGGTTCTTGATGAACAAGAAACCCAGTGTGCTCCAGGATCAGGAAACAGAGGGGTTTGGGGTGAGCAAGGTCGGGGGGTTAAGTGAAGACTGCTCAGAGATATGCCGACCATCTGAAAATGCTCTGAGCCCAGAAATGACAGAGGCTGGGAGGGGGCTAAGGACACCGCGGGGTGATTACTTGGAGAACCCCTGAGACAATGTTCACTCTCCCACGCCGTTTCTGCCTGCAGAAGGGGTCAGAAAGGAACTGAGATATCTGCCCAAAGAAGGGACACACAAGTGGGCCCCCGAATTATAGCCTGGCTGGCTGACGACACCCACAGAAATGGGAAACTGCTAGAATCCTTCTGAGTATATTATATCAGAAACATTGCCTCATCCACAGTCAAACAGCAGAGGGGGGTGAGATGCTGCTGGTGCCCCCCAGGCCCCACATACCAGCCATTGCACATCTCACTTGTCAGTTGTTAACCACAGACACCTGCAGCCTTCTAGTTCTGCCCTGCTAAGAGACTACTTGTAGATGTGAAGGAGGTTTCTCCCTCTATCCACCAGATAGATTCTGCCAGTAACTAACTGATGTGAGAGGTTCAGCCCTTCTTCCCCTGGCTGCACAATCTCTCTGCTACAGATAATGCTCAAGAATTCCTGGTGGACTCAAGAAGAGCCTAGAAATATGAAAACACACATTTGTCTAGTTCAGTGGCCCCTGAACTTTACTGCATTTGGTAATCACCTGGTTTATTTTTTTCATCTCATTTATTATTTATCTGTTTCTACTCAAATCTAGCAGCTAATCTACCCCAAATTTAGCAGCTTAAAAGACTTATGGCCTCACAATTTCTGTGGGGCAGCAATCTATGTGTGGCTTGCCTCTATGCCTCTGACTCGATGTCTCTCGCGAGGTGAGTGGTGGAAGGTCTGCTTCCAAGCTGACTCACATGGCTGTTGGCATGCTTTCAGCCTCTCGCTATGAGGGTTTCTCCACTGGGCTACTAACAATGTGGCAACTGATACCTCCCACCTCCGAGACAAGTGATCAAACAGAATATAAGAGAAGACAGAGCCATGGTCTTATAAACCAATCCTAGATTGGATATCCTACACTTCTGCTCATCAGAAGCAAATCAGTACCTCCAGCCCACATTCAAGAAGAGTACACAAAGTCATACATGTCAGATAGCAGGGATCACGGCAGTGATCTTAAAGGTTGTCTGCCATGTACTGGAGACCTTTTTTAAAAAAATACCTGGATCCATTCCAAGATATTCCGATCTCATTAGGATAGACTTAACCTCTTAACTAGTTTTAAGCGTATTATTCAGTAGGACTACCCATGTGCACATGTAGTGACAAGTCTCAAACTTTCATCCTCTAAAACTGAAACTATACCCATCAAGAAACTATACTTTCCCCCTCACCAAGTCCTTGGTAACTCTCTAATGAGTTGTAGATGTTGAACACTTTTCATATGCTTGTGGTCATTTGCAGGTTTTCTATGGAGAAATGTCTATTCAAGTCCTTTGCTCATTATTTATTTGGGTGTTTTTAATGGTTGAGCTATAGTTGTTTACATATTCTCATTGTGGATCTCTTATCAGACAGACAAATGGCTTGCAATTATTTTGCTCACTCTGTCTTCTGTTTTCACTTTGCTAATTATATCCTTTGCAATGCAAAGGATGCAGTCCCATCCCTATCAAAGTTTCAATGGCATTCTTCAAAGAAACAGAACAAACATTACTGAAATTCACATGGAGCCACCAAAGACCCTGAGCAGCCAAAGCTCTCCTGACAGGAAAGAGAAGGAATGTCCAGATCATACTCCTAGACTTCAAACTGTGTGATAAAACCATACTATCAAAACAGTATGCTACTGGGCCAGAATCAGACACACAGACCAATGGAAGAGAGTCCAAAAATAAACTCACACTTACATGAACAGTTTAACTATGACAAAGAAGTCATGATGGACATTAGAGCAAGGAAAGTCCTTTCAATAAAAGGTGTTGGGAAGGGCCTCCCCGGTGGTACAGCGATTGAGCGCTGGGTTGCGAAGCTGCCCGTAGCCTCTGCAGCGCCGGTTCGATCCCCGGCCACCGGGCAAGGGTCCCTCCCACATGGCGCGCAGACCTCTCCTGCCGCCTGCTGCTCCCCTCAGCAGTGTATTTCATCAGTCTGCCTGCTCTACTCTCCCCTCTGGCTCTGGAGAATTCTCTCACCCTCCCGCGTTTCTGACTGTACCCAGTGCTTGTATAAATAAATAAATAAATCTTTAAAAAAAAAAAGGTGTTGGGAAAACTTGACAGCCTCATGCAAGAGAATGAAACTAGACCACTGTCTTGCACCTTACACAAACTTCTACACAAAATGTATAAAACACTTGGATGTGAGAACTGAAAGCATAAAATGCATACAAAACAAAGGCAAAACACTTCACAACATAAGTTTCAGTGATGTCTTTGTGGATTCATCACCAACAGCAATGAAAACAAAAGAGAATATAAACAATTGAGATGACATCAAATAAAAAACCTTCTGCACAGTGAAAGAAACCATCACTAAGACAAACAGGCACTGACTGAATAGGAAAAAATATTTGCATACCATACATCTAACAAGGGGCTGGTATTAAAGATTTACAAAGAACTCATACAATTCAACAAAAAGAAAACAAGTAACACAATAAAAAAAATGGGTAGAGTAGCTAAATAGGTAAATACCAGATGGTGTTACCTATATGTGGGATACAGAAAAATCAAAAAATACCCAGATAAAATAAAACAACAACCCCTAGAAATATGACTATAGAATTGTGGCTACCAGACATACAGGGAATGAACAAAGTGGGGAGGGCGCACAATGGACTCTGGTGGTGGGTGTGGTGAACTAACAATACCTGAAGAGGGAGCTGCTGTAGCTTTAAAATGTAACCAGCATGTAAACCACTATTACCTTCCTTAAAAAGAAAAAAAGACAGACATAATTGCAATGTAACAACAACAAAAGTAGATTCTGTTTCAAAAGATCTAGGGTGGGGCCTCCCCGGTGGCGCAGCGGTTGAGTGCTGGGTTGCGATGCTGCCCGCAGTCTCTGCGGTGCAGGTTCGATCCCCAGCTGCTCCCCGGCCACCAGAGGAGGGTCCCACATGGTGCGCAGACCTCTCCTGCAGCCCGCTGCTCCCCTCAGCAGTGTACTTCAGTCCTTCTGCCTGCTCTGCTCCCCGCTCTGGCTCTGGTGAATTCTCTCACCCTCCCGCGCTTCTGACTGTACCCAGTGCATGTATAAACAAAACAAACAAACAAATAAATAAATAAATAACATGCCTCTATAAAAAAAAAAAAATCTAGGGTGGGGCCTAGAATTCTACATTTCTAACAAGCTTTTAGGCAATACTAATGTTGCTGTCCAAGGAATATCCTTTGTGTAGCAAGAAATTCCTTATTAGAAAATTTCAGGAAACCAGTTTCCAAAGAGGGAAAGATTAGATTAGACTAGATTACCTTAAAGAGGAATGAAGAGTAGTCTGATAAGAGATACTTCAAGGGCAAAATTAATGCAGAGAGGTAACAGTGATAACAATGAATATTGAGGAACAAGTATATCTGAATCTAAAATTCAATAATAAATCATACAGAAGTCCTCTTCAGATGTCCCAGGGTAGTTTATTATCCACTGATCAGTTTTAAAAGAATTGGAAGATGATATCATCTGGAAGAAAATCTAGTACACCAGTGAGGGGATCTAGAAGAAATGGGCAGCAGCACAATGTAGGCATTAAGAGTGAAGATTCTATGCAGAGGAAGTGTTGGGGCCACCAGTTGGGTGTCTGCCTTTAAGAAAGTCATGAAACATCTCTTTGTTTCAGCTCATATGTAAAAAAATGGGAATAACAACAGTATCCACTTGGCAGGGCTGTTGTGAGGATTAATTAAACCAGCAATCATCAAGTACTTCACAAAATGCCTGCACACCGCCAGCAGTGTGAGATGCTTGCTGCCTTTACAAGTTATTATAGAGAACAAAGACAAGCAGAGAAACTCAGCTAAATGGAGAAGAGTTCCCCATAAAGAACATTTAAAAATAATCTTAGATTACAAGTCTAGATTATAACTGAGAGCATATATGAGGGTGCAGAGGACATTAAAGGTAGGCAGAACTTAACGGAACTTAAGTATGTGCTTTCCAAAATTTTAGGTAAAACTATGAGACTGAATTTCCAACTTTTAAATATTAAAGGAAGAAACAGAAGTGAAAGACATAAAATGCTATGAAGTCAAAAAAAGGTAGGAAAAGTGAAAAGGAATGAAATGTAAAAATAAAGTATAATACCTTAAAAAGTGAACTAAGAGCAGGATTAAGTACAAGTTCGCCTACAGTAATTGGTTGGACAGACCAATTAGCCCTGAGTTCTTAGTAAAATATATCTGTAAAACAAAATGGTAAGGGAAAATTGCCAAGAAAACTGGCAACTTGGGTGTTTGGTGGTGTGTGCAGTATGATAACAACACCTAAGGGGTCTCCCTATGCTTCCAAAATGCAAACATCGATATAAACCAATGTTTAAACTGACCTGTAAGGAATTGGTTGGTTGGACAAATTAGCTGAATTGTAAGATATATATGCAAAACAAAATGGTAAAGGAAAGTAGTAATATGTCTGATATGTAGCAGTAGTAGTATGTATGATAGCCAAAGTGAGTTCATTTTATGAGTGACGTACAACTTACATTAGAAAATTTATCACTCTAAATTCAAGACAATAAAGGAGAAAATACACATCATCACAACAGAAGTGAAACATTTATTTGATAAAATTCTACATGCATTTTTAATAAAATTTTTTAGTAAACTAAGAATAGAAGGAAGCTTCCTTAATCTAACAAAGGGCAGCAATGAAAAACAAAATCGAGACAAGCTGCCTACTAAAACCACCTCTAATCATCATTACATCATCATTACATTGAAGGTCATAAAATGACCCAAATGCCCAAAAACAAATGACTGGATCAAGAAGATGTGGTCTATATACACTAAGGAATACTATTCAGCAATCAAAAAAAGATAAACTCACGCCATTTGCAGCAACATCGATGGAGCTGGAAGGGATTATGCTTAGTGAAATAAGCCAGAAGGAAAAAGAAAAATACTAATGGTTTCACTTACAGGAGGAATGTAGGAGAACCAAATAAGGGACTAGGAAAAAATAATTACAATAAATTAAAAAACAAAATAAACAGGCAACTATTAATCACAGAGACACTCTGCAGGGAGAGGGATCAAAACAGGAGGGAATGTGTTCTTGCACAGGGGACTGTGGTGGTGGTGCACAGGTGATTTGGTGGTGGGGTTTTGCAGGGACTATACCTGAGAGGACAAAGCATGCATTGCACAAAAAAAGGAAGAATGATGTAAAATATATATAAAATAAAAAAATACTAAATAAATCATTATATAAATAAAATAAAGAAAAAATGTACAAAGTATAAACAAGTTAATCACAGATAAGAAATACCAAAGGATAATGCATCTATAAAAGAAGCTCAAGCTCATTAATAATCATAGAAATGCAAATTTAAATAACAAAGCGATGCCATTTTTCCATTCACCATATTGGAATAAACCTAGTTTGTTATCAAGGGTTTGTAAGAAAGGATAAGTATTCACATTCTGTTGCTAATAAGGCAAATTAGGAGATGAAGGCATTTGGAAAGTATTCATCAAAACTGAAAATTATTCTAGAAAAACTTGTATTTGTGCAAAACGTTATAAATAAAATCTGATCTTATCATACAATGTAATACTATACAATAATTAAATGAATTATACTTTTCAACATAAATCTCAAGAATACTGTTGAATTTTTTTAACTGTTGAAAAAATTCAAAAGTGAAAACATTCTTTCATATGATTTATATGAAAATATACAAACTAAAATATTTTTATATGGACACCCACAAAAGTATTATATATATTTTTATATAAACGATTTTATATTATAAATATATTTATACACTATGTAAACCACATATAAATTTCTTTGAAACCTGTGATGTTGTCTTTAAAGGTCTACAATGATTGTCCTTTTGGGTTGGGGCATGGGGTGCCAGGATTTGAAGGCATGGTAAGAGTTTTTCACTTTTATCTGAAATGTTCTACTTTTTAAAAAATAAAATGCATTTGGGTATTAACTTTATAATAAAAAATAATTTTTAAAAATCCAGTAGATTTAACAGTATGTAGTGGGTGAACTTTGCTATAAAGTTCAGTGGAATAGATAAGCAGTGACAAAATTTCAATGAATTGGAAATTAAAAGAAATTCAGATATAGAGACAGTGGTGATTATGAACTATATTCTGAGGAATTTGAACATGAAGGGAAATAAATGATGGATAATAACAGATGGGATATATGATGCAGGGAACAAGTGCTGTATCTGTAGAAAATTTAGTTCATAGGTATAATATATACATAGAATACATAGGAAGAGGCCACTAAATAGGCTAAAAATAGAGCTACATTACAATATATATAAGAAGGAATAAACTGAAGAGTTATCTTGGCATTAAACATTTAGGGACTATGTACGGTTATGGCAGGTTTAGAACACAGCTCAGCTTCTGACCAACTGATTTCTAAGGTTTCCTACCACCAAAAAAATAATTTTAATGAGAAGCTTGTCTGTACACTAGTCTCAATATTTCAATAATTTCAAATCAAGCATCCTTAACTGAGTATTTTGATAGGGAAAAATGAGAAAAAGTTACCCTAATAGCAATCCCCACTGCCAGGGAAAATTCATCAGGAAGTGGGAAATAATAGCCATTGAGCAGGCCTCCATCAGGCATGGGCCCACAGACAGTCTCAAACACACGCCTTTCATTTCCCTCAAAGCCTGAAATATAAAAATAATCACACTTTAGACAAATCTATAATGGTCAAATAGAAAATTATTTAAGGAAATATTGAAACCTTATACCTTATACCTTTTTTGGGTATAAGTTCTTGCTATTATCTACTTCTTCCAGATTGTCCCACTGCGCTTGAAATACAAACATAGCTCATTTTGTATATCATAGATTGGATTACAAATTACTTCACATTTTATAAAACACTGTTGTATTTTAATTATTAAAAAATCAATTTCTCTGTAATTTAATTAACTGCCTTCCTTAATTTCTACCTTTCTTATTTCTACCTTCCTTAATCTGCCTTAGAGTATAATGAAATAGTATAATGAAAGTATACCATAGGTTTATTTCCATAAGGTTGAGATGAATAGTTTGATTAACTTAATAATTTGAAATAGAAAATATCAACATGGAATAAGAGACTCTCACTTAAAACCACAAAATTAATTAAAAGAGATAAAACTACTCAATTTTCTCACTGGTTCAAATCTCTACTGGAGAATAAAATAAATTTCACTGTCTATAATTAGTTATGCTCTTGAGATATTTCCACTACACTCATACATTTACCACTTTTGAGTAACTGTTATATTCCTGAATAATCATCTTTTAAAAACCCAAATAAATGAATGACTCCTAGATACTAATATTTTAAGACATATTTTAAATGGTTGGCTTTTATAATAATGCAAACACAATTAGGAACATACTTCTGCAGGGAAAAGTCATGAAATAAAAATATTATTGAAGTTTTTTAAATCTTTTTGAAACAAAGCAAAAATTTTTTTATAGGGAGACAATATACTTTGTTAAATGAAAAGTAAATAGTTATTAACCAGAAGAGCTACAACTTCCAAATAATACAAATGCCGCAAAAGACAGATTGATCTCTAAGCAAATAATTAAAGATGATCTCTAATAGAGATCTTACCTCACAGTGATTTTTTTCATATCAAAAGTAGAAATCAAGGTGCCAAAATTCCTACAAAATCTGTATTCTTTTTCTTAATTTTGCTTAAAGATTCCACTTGAAAAATCTATAACAAAAATTCTGTCTACTTTTCTTTGCCACCAGTCTCCAATATTTAAAATAGTCTTACTCAATGTATAATTGGAAATGCACCTTTGGGTCCAGTCCAAGTCCAGCTCGTATCAGGATAATGGTAAGGGCAGTATTTCTTAATGCTGAAGACCATTTACTATTTATAAGGACGAATTTGCTGAGGAATGGAGCATTCCTAATGGTAAAACCAGCCAGTAACATCCCTTAACACAAAGAAAATAAAGCACATGTGATTTGGTTGATTTTTTTTCCAAGAGAGAAACCAGAAATGTTTAATTTCCCCTCTTCAAACACACTGTATCAACACTTTGGATGAAGGGCACTTACACACAAGTGGAGGATGCAGCATAAAGGACTACAGGCAAGAGAGGACATTGCTAAATGGGGTACAACAAGTAATTCTGTCTTCCCAAAACACAAAGGGCAAGGCTGGGAGTGGAAGAATGGGCTAGAGGGGGCAGATCATGGAAAGCTGCCTCTCCACCCCCCTCACCATTCTTTGACAGGGGGAGGCACCGTGGAGAAGTTTTAGGCTGGAAATGACATATGATGAGTCTTGCATTTTCTCCATTTTGGTGAATTAGACAGGCATGAAACTGGAAGACAGAAGACTGCCATAGTCCATGGAGGAGCTGGAAACAAGTAACTTACACAAAGTAAGTGCAGATGTTTTGGAAAAGAGGTAAAAGGTTGAATGAATACTTAGGAAGTGTTGAGAGTGTTGTAAACATTGAAAGCGGGGGTAGAGATAAGATGGAGAGAGTATATCTACAGAGTGTACTGAATATTCGGATGTACTGAATACTTAGAAGATATGATACACCTTTGACAAATGTTCTTCCACTAATTGTCTCCTGTCCAGTTGGAGAATGACATAATAATAGTAATGAAGAAACAGCACATAATACTAGTTGGGCTGATGATGCATCCCTGAATATACAAAGAGCTTACTCAAAGCCATAGGATATTTTGGTGTCCTAGTCATTATAATATTTGAATCTTGTAGTTGTATTTGACTTGGTTACCAACAGAAAAACACAGCTTTTTCCCTAGTTTTTCCTTATTTATAATGCATCTAAATTTCATTAAAATGTCCTATTAAATGGTAAAGCAATAAGAATCAATAATTTAAATTATCTTAAAAATGTTTAAGAAAAAAAATCTGTGCATAGAGAATAAATATTTCTACAATAAGCTATGTATACACATATATAGTAAGTCACATATAAGGAAGCTTTACAGATCATATATACTCACTATTTCTAAGCTATATCTAGTCTAACAAAAATATGGACATAATTTACATACAGTCAAAAGCAAAGAAACAAGACCTAATTATATGTTTACCAAGAAGAGGTGGAAGTGGAGGCACTGGAGGTATGGCAATCAATTCCAAAAGTTTCCCCCCAATAAAGGCACCATAAAAGACAATAAAGAATCCAAATAAACTTCCACCAGGAAGAACGACAGGACCAACGAGTGACCAGGTCATACACCATATCATTATAAGTATAGCTCCTGAAATACAAAAAGGTACACATGATGCATAGTCATACAGAAGGTGAATTCTCATTTACTAAATATATTAATGGCTAATCCCTATAAAATGATAGGACAGACTAATTCTGCTTGCTAGTATAGTTAAAGAAATATCTGTTTAACATACATTACAAATACCCTGTGCATTTTTTTAAAATTTATTTATTTATTATATACAAGCACTGGGTACAGTCAGAAGCGCGGGAGGGTGAGAGAATTCACCAGAGCCAGAGCGGGGAGCAGAACAGACAGACTGACGAAATACACTGCTGAGGGGAGCAGCGGGCGCGGCAGGAGAGGCCTGCACAGCAGGAGAGGTCTGCGCGCCAATGCGCATTTATGGGACAAGTTTTAAAGTGAATCCTTTCAAGAGCTAAACATTTTTTGTATGACATTTAAAAATGTCATGACGATATGATGAAGTTTACTTCATTCTATATTTTAAAGCAGGTTTTCCATCAGGAGTAAGAGGATTGAATGGAGAATTCTCAAATTTAGTGAAGATCACAGTGGCAGAGTAGTAAATTTTAACAGGAGCAGATTAAACCTTTGTATTGAAAGGATAACTCAGTTAATATTTGATATAGATTATTTATTTATGTATTTTTAAAAAAGATTATTTATATAAGAACTGGGGTACAGGCCATATTCGCAGGAGGGTGAGAGGATTCATGAGAGACAGAGCAGGGAACAGAACAGGCAGACTGACGAAATACACTGCTGAGGGGAGCAGCGGGCGAGACAAGAGAGGTCTGCTGAGCCATGTGGGATTCTCCCCTGCTGGCCGGGATAGAACTAGTGCTGCACTCAACTGCCTGCGCCACCAGGGGAGGCTCTAAAGATCATTTAAAGGTATAAAGGCAGTGTACCTAGTCTTTGAGAGAATATAAAGTATCTGAGATTATATAGGAAACAGAGATGGGCTGACTGGGTAAGTATAAGGTAGCAGACATTGTTTCTGGTCCAACTCAAGGGGGAGTCCTTAGGTTTCTATAAATGACAGGTGGTTATACTATAAATTGCTATGTGCAAATAAAATGCTACCTTCATTCCTGTTAACCATAATTTCTAATTCATTTTAGGTTCTTAAAACAGCTTAAGTATTCTGTACCTGGAACCTCTTTGTGGCTACATAGAACTGCCAGAGTATAAGAAGAGAATTTTTACAAACTCAACACAGAAAATTATGAGTAAGATTCTTTTTTCCATCCTCCATGCCAACTATTGCCATTCCCACAAAAATGGAGTATTTAAGAACTGAACTCTTACTGAACGAATGGACCAGAAGATCTCATTCTACTGACAAATGGAAAAGACAAGGCAGTTTTTCTTAGCTGCTTTGTAGGTGGCAAAATCACCTGAAAATTCATATACAAAATAAGCCTCAACTAACTTATGTTTAAGGTTCAAGTTTCCATGATTTGTATGACTTGGGACCCCTAAACCTACCACAGAAAAAGTCTTCCCATGTAACTATCCCCACAGCACTTAGTAGAGGCTAATTCAAAACAGACATTTCTTTTTTTTTTTTTTTTAAGATTTTTTTTTTTATAGAGGCATGTTTTATTTATTTATTTGTTTGTTTGTTTGTTTTGTTTTATACATGCACTGGGTACAGTCAGAAGCGCGGGAGGGTGAGAGAATTCACCAGAGCCAGAGCGGGGAGCAGAGCAGGCAGAAGGACCGAAGGACACTGCTGAGGGGAGCAGCGGGCGGCAGGAGAGGTCTGCGCGCCATGTGGGACCCTCCTCCGGTGGCCGGGGAGCAGCCGGGGATTGAACCGGCGCCGCAGAGGCTGCGGGCAGCTTCGCAACCCAGCGCTCAACCGCTGTTTTGGGAGGCCCCAAAACAGACATTTCTGATTCCACACTGTATAAAATCTCAAAGGTAAGCCCCATTTAATCTAAACTTAAAACAAAACACTTAAAAAAAAAAAAAAAAACCACAATTCCCTACAAGAAAAAGTTACTAGATACAACAAAGAAAACCTCAGTCTATAAAATAATCACTATAAAGTACCATTCAAGGAAAGAACAAATTAAAGATGCTATGGAGAAAATGCTCCAGACACACCTCCATGAAGGGGAGGCACCACTCCCCTCCCTCTCTCTCACAGCAGCCGCCAGGATGGAAGGCACAGTGGGAGAACCAGACTGGAGCTAGGGACAGAGCTGAGGGGCCAGTGGGGCTACCTAACTGGGATGGGCAGACTGGGTAGTAGATCTACATGGTTTGGGACCCCTAAACCTATAAAAAAAAAAAAGTGGGGCCTGGCTCTCTTGCTTTTACTGCTTCAACTTGCACCCTGCTACTCTATTATCCTGTTAGACTGGAAGACAAGTCCCTTTTCAAAATTTCTAGAGTATGTGCTTAAATTTTTCTAGGTGACATAAGACACATTTTTCTCAAAAACATTATTATCTAGTTTCCTTGCAATAAGGAATCAAAAATAAACCTAAATTCAGGAGCATCAGGTTTTCCTGGGGGCAGAACCACAACCTACTCAATCTGGAATTGTAATAGTAAGGTTATCCTGTCTCAAATCATTTTTTCATTTTATCCTATTATTTAATTCCATAGACTTCTAAAGTTTCAAGATACTACAAACCACGAAGAGACCAATCATTGCGAGGGACTCCTATTTCATTTGTCATAACTTTTACCAGAGAAGTGAGTTTCTCTGACCAGGAAGTTCAGGCTGACAATCTAAGTCAGGCTTTAACACAAGCACCTCTATTCAGGCCCAGTTTCTTTTTATATCAGCCAAACACCTAGGAGATGAAGTCAGTTATTTTTCCTTGTTAGATAACATGAGCTAATTTTGATTAATAAGCACAGGTAGAATAAAATATTATACCCAGGGCCTCCCTGGTAGCTCAGGCGGTTGAGCGCCGCACTGTGAAGCTGCCTGCAGCCTCTGCAGTACGGGTTCGATCCCTGCCGGCCAGGGAGAAGCCCACATGGCGCAGCAGACCTGTCTTGCCTGCTGCTCCCCTCAGCAGTGTATTTCTTCAGTCTGCCTGTTCTGTTCCTTGCTCTGTCTCTGGTGAACCCTCTCACCCTCCCGCGCATCTGGCCTGTACCCCGGTTCTTGTATAAATAAATAAATCTTTAAAAAATAAAATAAAATATTATACCCAATATTATAATGCATTTCAAAGTGAATCATTAAATATTAAACTAGTTCTCAATGACCAAAAGTTATCCCAAATCACATTTTTGGAAAACACTTGCATGAGTTTTTATTATATTCTTGAGTTTAGAAAGAATTTACGTAAGCACTATTTTAAAACCATTAGATATGAATTATCTCTAATATTACCATCTAGAGGTAAAATAAAACACGGGGGGTGACACACAATACACAGACACAAACCAAGAGCTCCAAGTGTCCATGCAAAACTTCAGTCACATGTACTCATTTCATTTGTGATGATATGAGAATTTTCATTAATTCTGTTTTCAAGTAGTACTTTCTCTTTACTTACTCCTTCAGATAAGATACTACCCCCCTTAACATTTCTAAAAATGGATCTTTGATTCTAAGAAAAGTAGGGGCAGAAAGCTTGTACCAGAGATATATTCATGCTTCCTTAAGGCCAGATTTTCCTTCTCAAAATACCTGTGAGAGATTTGGAATGGATGGACTTTGAGTTGTTTCTGTAACCATATCTCTGACCTGGTAAAAACTCCAATTGTAAGACAAAAATATTCTAATTCCTCAAAGAACTCAGGTGGTATCGTGTCTGGTACTACTAGGTTGACATACACATTTAACACATTTTTTCTCTTATATATATATATATATATATATATATTTTTAAAGATTTATTTATTTATTTATACAAGCACTGGGTACAGTCAGAAGCGCGGGAGGGTGAGAGAATTCATCAGAGCCAGAGCAGGGAACAGAACAGGCAGACCAACAAAGTACACTGCTGAGGGGAGCAGTAGGCAGGGGAGGTCTACGCGCCATATGGGACCCTTGCCGGCGGCCGGGGATCTAACTGGCACTACAGAGGCTGTGGGCAGCTTTGCAGCCCAGCCCTCAACCACTGCGCCACCAGGGGAGGCCCTCTAATATATTTTTAAATCGGAGAGGAGGTGATCTATATAAGATGGAAATTAAGATCATTATATGCTAGAATAAATATCCCATTAAACTATTAATTCAACTACATTTAAAACTTCATTAACTCAAGACTAGAACTATTACAAAGACAACCAAAAAACAATTTAGACCCGAGGTGGACAAATTCTATTTTCTATTCAGTCATATTGAGACCAAACCCAATTCTCACAAAGATAAGAGGATAGAACACCTTGTCCAATCCTATGATATTTTTAATGAACAGCACTAAAGACCAATCAGTGGTATTGTGCATAAGGAAGAGGATGAGAGAGGGGATATACTGATTTTTTTTCTTCATATATTCTGTATATTGACCCTAATTAACTTTGGATTAAAAAACTCTTTTCTTGGGGCCTCCCTGGTGGTGCAGGGGTTAAGCACCGCACTATAAAGCAATCCGCAGCCTCTGCAGCATGAGTTTGATCCCCGGCTGACCAGGGAGCAACCCACATGGTGCAGCAGACCTCTCCTGACTTGCCCACTGCTCCCCTCAGCAGTGTACTTCGGTCAGTCTGCCTATTCTGTTCCCCACTCTGTCTCTGGTGAATTGTCTCACTCCCTCCTCCCGCATTTCTGGCCTGTACCCCAGCTCTTGTATTCATAAATAAATAAATCTTAAAAAAAAAAAAAACTCTTTCTCTTTAAATCTATACCTTCGAATTTAGGGCACAAAATTTTGAAAGCTCAAAAGAGTTTCCTAGTGGCCATGTTAAGTTTAAAGTTATTTTTTATATTATTGGCAATGTGAGACCGGAATTTGCAAAAACATTTGTTAACACATGGTTTTACATCTACTTTTAATATTTTTCTTATTAAAAACTATTCCCAACGCTGGCTAAAATATTTCTCTACATTTTCCTTCCTTTTCCCCTCCTTCCCCTATTTTCTATTTAATTTTTTTCCAATTAGACATGTAGATTGAGAGGTTTCCTAATTTGTAATAGATCCAATATAAGCAATTTTAAAGTTTTCCAATTTAATAGAAACTCAGCCAACTGACAAGCATCATTTATAGCTTACCTAAAGATCCAGAAATTCACTCCCAGCAGAAAACACAGCAAAACGAAAGACTCAATATACATTAACAGTTTTCAGTTAAGCCTTGGAGCCAGAATTATAACCCATGCTAGCCAAATTTCCAGATTTTTGGCTCAAGATTTCCTTAGAAATAGTTATTTAAAAAAAAGGATAGAGAGAAAGAGAGAAAGAGAGAGAGAGGAGAGAGAGTTGTTATCTCAGTGTATATTAAGATATCCTCTTTCTAATAGCAACACACAAGACAGACTCTAGACTGCAGTACCTTTACCCAAACCTCAAGACTAGAAAAACGTGGTGGGAAATGGCAAGAAACTGGAATCCAAATGTCCTATCCATGGAAAAGAACAGAAAAGCACCTCAAGGTAGATAACCACCAAACCTCAAGTCAGAAAACATATCATGAGACAGCATATAACATTCAAAATAAACAGGACATGGTCAAGTCTCACTTTTCAAAAACAAGCAAGGCTCTGGAAGAAACAAAACCAAAGAATCAGGCAAAATGAAGGAACCAAATCCTTAAACCAAAACAGTTACTCAATATCCAAGACACTAGCTTTCCAATATTTTCTCTTACCAATCTTAAATTTAGAGAGAAAAAGGAAAGGACTTCATACCTCTTGGTTTCCATTAGATTTCTGCAGGGGAAGAGAGATCAGGAGTCTGAAGTGGTAAAAATCTTTACCTGTTGCCAGCATGTTCAGAAATCCTAGATCTCCTCTGCAGCCATCTTGGGAAAATAAGCAGCCCAGCCATTGACAGTTCTCCTGGCGGGTGCAGCAAATTGTCAGGGCACAAAGGAAATCACCCTTTTGGGTTCTTCTAGGCTGGTATATAACCAAACAAGCATCAGACAGATTGAGAAGAGAAAAAATAAAAAAGGAGTTTAATAATTACATGTATACTTCCTGTATACATAGTGAGACCTGGCATTACTAATCCAACAGTTTAGATTTCTTATTTGAGTTAACTGTATACACTGTGGCATTGCTGAATGAAATACGACTGTAGAGAAACAGCAGCTCTACTGTTTTCTATTACCCAGAGTATATGCTGTTTTCAGGATTCCTATAGTGTGAAATTAGGGGCTGTTTGTGTATGTGTGTGTGTGTGTGTGTGTGTAAGGGGGGGGTATTGAAAAAGAATATGCACCCCCAAGACAGAAACATAGACATTATAAAAATTTCCTTTTCTTAAACAATTTCTCTAAAGTTGCTAAATCAAAAAAAAAAAAAAAAAAAGGGAGTAACCATCTCTAGATGTATCTAAGTTTGCAGTTTCAATACTGATTTAAAACTCTTCAATTGGTTCCTGAGCAAACTGCAATCCCCAACTTTGAAAAATAACCTTTGGAGCCAACACATTTTCCTTTCTTCTACAGGCCGTCATCCTACACCTACAACTCTATACAAACTGTCCACTAAATAGGATCATAGCAACATGTATTTAAGACCTATGCCCTATCACCTACTACAAATATTCAAATTTAGTTTACATTCAGAATCTTAGAAATACTGATGTGAAGAGAACTAGTAAAAGACAAAACAGATTAAAATAGGGCCTCCCTGGTGGCACAGCCGTTGAGCGCTGGGCTGCAAAGCTGCCCGCAGCCTCTGCAGCGCGGCGCGCAGACCTCTCCTGCCACGCCCGCTGCTCCCCTCAGCAGTGTACTTCGGTCCTTCTGCCTGCTTTGCTCCCCGCTCTGGCTCTGGTGAATTCTCTCACCCTCCCGCGCTTCTGACTGTACCCAGTGCTTGTATAAATAAATAAATAAATAAATCTTAGAAAAAAAATAGATTAAAATATAATGAAAGAGGGGCCTCCCTGGTGGCCTAGGAGTTAAGTCTCAGTGCTATCACCACTACAGCCTGAGTCCTATCCCTGACCAGGGAGGTGACCCACATGTGAAGCAGACCTCTCCTGTCTCCCTGCTGCTCCCCTCAGCAGCATATTTCAGTAGATCCGCCCGTTCTGCTCCCCACTCTGACTTTAGTGAATTCTTTCATTACCACCCCCACCTCTGGTCTGCAGTTAAAAGCAACCTTTACAAAATGACAAATCAATAAAATTTACTTTCAAAAATTTAAAGCAGACCTCCCTGGTGGCGCAAGGGGTTTGCGCACAGCACTGTGGGGCTGTCTGCAGTCTCTGCAGCATGAGTTCCATCCCTGGCCAGCCAGGGAGCTGCCCACATGGTGCAGCAGACCTCTCTTGTCTTGCCCGCTGCTCCCCTCAGCAGTGCATTTCAGTCAGTCTGCCTGTTTTGTTCCCCACTCTGTCTTTGGTGAATCCTCCACCTCCTGCACCTCTGGCCTGTACTCCAGTTCTTGTATGCATAAATAAATAAATCTTTAAAAAAATTAAAAAAAAAAACTTAAAGCTAGCAAGTAGCAAATAAAAAAATTTTAAATTTCTATTGCTTATTTTTCATTATCCATATAGATATATATATGCATATATACATATAGAATGTGTATATATAAATTTATATTCATATATATACACACATATATATACACACATATATATACATATATGCATAGAAGAACTGCAGGCCAGAGGGTGGGGGGGAGTGAAAGAATTCATTAAAGTCAGAGTGGGGAGCAGAACAGGCAGATCTACTGAAATATGCTGCTGAGGGGAGCAGCAGGAAGACAGGAGAGGTCTGCTGCACCATGTGGGTCACCTCCCTGGTCAGCGATGGAACTCAGGCTGTAGCGGTGATAGCTGAGACTAAACTCCTAGGCCACCAGGGAGGCCCCTCTTTCATTATATTTTAATCTATTTTTGTCTTTTACTAGTTCTCTTTATTTTGAAGGTGAAAATATTAATCTGTTTCACTCTGTTAAGTTTAACCTTTAGAATATCTAGAACAATGTAAAGAAAGTCCTTTAACAATGAGATGTTTTAAAATTTTAATAGGGAAGCAAATTTTATACAACTCTTTACAAATCAGCAGCTGTTTAAAACTTGGGGCATGGCTTTATTATGAGCTTTATTTCCAAAAGAATAAAGTTGTTTCAACTAACTTAAAACTAAATGTCAAAAGCAGGTCCTAAATAAAACCCTTTCATCAATGCTGTTTCTAAGTCCTAAAATTTAAGACAAAAAAGGCATGAAAAACATTAAAATACAGATTTGTTAAACAATTATTACTTTTTTGCAGGTTTAAGGAAACGGTTCCTCTTTGCCTACATATATTGTGTAATACAGCTTATCGTTGATGTGGAGTATACAGATGAAGAGTGACTTAGTTGGCTGTGTTGAAATATTCACCAAACATTCCTTATTTTCTCTCCACATACAAGTGCTGATTTTACATACCATTTGTTAAAAAGTTATTCAATGAGCCCCGTGGAGGACAAGGACCTCTCTTTTCCAATCGACGCCGCCTCTTTTCCGAGCGATGATCCTTCTTTTTCAATGGTGGTTTATTTTCCTCTGTTTTTGACAAGACAGGTTCCTTAGTTTCTCTATATTCATAAGTATTCCCATCTCTGTTGATCTGCAGTAAAACAAGTATTTATTTTAAGAAATACAATTTCCATATAGTTTTATAAATTCATGAATGTCAATGTGGATAATGACACAAACAAAAGAACATTCATGCTCTTATCAAAAAGGGTGTGGGGGGGCCACAGCAGTGAGTTTGCAGGCACAACGATGAAGCGTGACAGGCTGAAGCAACTGGGACTTTCACTGTGATTTATACATAATGAATTAATAAGATTAGCACATGGGCAGAATCATTAAAAGGGTTATTCCTTAAGTTAACTCCCAAAGATTACTCAGCAAAACAGTGGAATGAAAATATAGCTAAATTTGAAAAGACATGAATTGTAACTTTCTTGGGCTCATTTCATGTGAAAAATCACATGACAATGTAAAATGAGAAAAACAAATCAAGCCTTCAGAATTTCAAAGGTCATGTTTCCACAATTATTCTAGATAACATAACGAAATAGTTCATGGGTGTATCTCAACTTTCCAGACTTTCAAAGGTAGTCTAATTATGAAGCTGCTGATTTGGGGAAGAGGTTGGAGGGGGAGCTATCTTTAGTTTGTAAGAATATCAAGCTTCTCCCAAGGTGAAAAAAAAATTTAACAGTCAAAAACCAAAATAACATGAGCCCTGGAAAAGAGACCTTCAGATTGGACACACTGTCCTCATCATGTGTGTGCAGGTGTGTGCGCTTGTGTGTGTGTATGTGTGTGCACGCACACGCAGGCCAGCATTTTGAGAATATCTGGAGTACAGTGGTGAGAGAACATTACACTAAAACAAGAAGTGGGACTAGAGGTTAGAGAACATGCGCAGGTTAAGAAAGGGAAGAGTCACGTTTCATGACTAGGAGACAGTCACCACTGCAGCTGATGGAAGGAATCATGCGGCTCTTTAAGATCAAACTTCTCTAAACCTGCTCAAGAGTCATTTGCTGGAGTTCTGGCATACATACTTTTTTTTTGGAAAGTCTGTCACTACATAAAAGGGTCAGGGTAAAGACAAAAAGGTGAATTTTCATTAGGGTGGGTGAAAGGCAATATACAATAAAACCATATTATTTTAGGTTTCATTATTTCCAAATTTATAAAAACTGACACATGTTAGGATGAACTCTTTATACATAAACAGAGTAACAGAATCTAAGGTAGATACTACAAATATTTAAAAGAACTTCTTGGCCTTTAAAAACTGTAGAAACTTCTATTTTAAAAAATAAATTCTTTTTCTTTCCCTGGGAGCATGCAAGGAATCTGAATTTTAGATTTTTATTTTTACTTTTATTTTTACTATTTTATTTTCTTATATCATTGTTCATTTTTGTACCAGATTTGAATTCTCCCCTCAGATATAGTCCCCATAATTCTCCCACCACCACATCACCTGTGAATCGTCACCATAATCCCTGTGTTCCTCCCCCTTCCCTGCTTTATGCCTCAGATCTATGGTCAGCTTACTAGTTTTGTCTTTTTCTTGACCCTTTGTTTGGTTTCCCCATATTCCACATATAAGTGAAACCATTTGATATTTTTCCTTTTCTTTCTTATTTCACTAAGCATAATCCCTCCAGCTCCATCTACACTGCTGGGAATGGCATGAGCTTCTTTTCTGATCACTGAGTAGTATTCCATTCTGTATATAGACCACATCTTCTTGATGCAGCCATGTGTTTTGGGGCATTGTTTCCATTATCTTAGCTATTATGAATAGTGCTGCAGTAAACATAGGAGTACAGGTTTCCTTCCAAATTTATGTTTTTGGGTCCACTGGGTAGATTCTTAGGAGTGGAATTGCTGGTCATATGGTAGATCCATTTTTAGTGTTCTGAGGAACCCCCACACAGCTTTCTATGGTGGTTTGCATTCCCACCAGCAGTGTAAGAGGGTTCCTTTTTCTCCACATCCTCACTCACCAGCATTTGTTGTTGCCAGTTTTGTTTGTTTTTTTTTTAAGTATGTGCCATTCTCACCAGTGTGAGGTGGCATTTCATTATGGTTTTGATTTGCATTTCCCTCATTATCAGTGATGTTAAGCATTTTTTTCATATACCTGTTAGCCATTTGCATTTTTTTTCTTTGGAGAAGTGTCTTTTTAGCTCTTCTGCCCATTTTTTTTTTTTTAAAGATTTATTTATTTATGCATACAAGAGCTGGGGTACAGGCCAGAGATGGGGGGGGGTGAGAGGATTTACCAGAGACAGAGTAGGGAACAGAACAGGCAGACTGATTGAAATACACTGCTGAGGGGAGCAGCAGGCGAGACAGGAGAGGTCTACTGTGCCATGTGGGTTGCTCCCTGGCCAGCCGGGGATCGCATTCGTGCTGCAGAGGCTGTGGATTGCTTCATAGTGCAGTGCTTAACCCTTCACGCCACCAGGGAAGCCCCATTCTGCCCATTTTTTTTTTGATTGGGATATTTGCTTTGTTTTTTTGTTTTGTTTTGTTTGTTTTTTAAAGATTTATTTATTTATACAAGCACTGGGTACAGTCAGAAATATGGGAGGGTGAGAGAATTCACCAGAGCCAGAGCGGGGAACAGAACAGGCAGACTGGCAAAATACACTGCTGAGGGGAGCAGCGGGCACGGCAGGAGAGGTCTGCACACCATGTGGGACCCTCGCCTGCTGGCCGGGGATCAAACCAACACTGCAGAGGCTGCAGGCGCTTCACAGCCCAGCGCTCAACCACTGTGCCACTGGGGAGGCCCTATTTGCTTTGTTTTTATTGAGTTGTATAAGGTCTTTGTAGATCTTTGATATCAGTCCCTTTTCAGTTATATAGAGTACAAATATTCTCTCCCACTCAGTAGGGTCTCTTTGTTTGGCTACTGTGTTTTTTTTTTTTTTTTTTTTTTTTTAATGTGTGTGTGTGTTTGTTTTTGCTATACAGAAGCTTTTTAGTTTGATGTAGTCCCAAGCTGTTTATCTCTTCCTCCATTTTCTTTGCTTTTGGAGATGAATCCTCAAAGATTTTTCTGAGGTGTGTGTCATGGAGTGTTTTGCCTATGTTTTCTTCTATGTATTTTATGGTTTCAGGTCTTACATTCAACGTTTTAATCTAGTTTGAGTTGTTTGTGTATGGTATGAAGTAGCAGTCTAGTTTCATTCTTTTACACGTAGGATCCAGTTTTCTAAGCACCATTTATTGAAGAGACCATCCTTGCTTCAGTGCATATTCTTTGCCACAGATTAGTTGTCCATATATGTGTGGTTTTATTTCTGGGTTTTCAATTTGATTCCACTGGTGTGTGTGTGTCTGTTGCATTGAATTTGTGAATTGCTTTTGAGAGGATGGCCATTTTGATAATGTTAATTCTTCCAATCTATGAGCAGGCATTATCTTTCCATTTCTTTGTGTCTTTTTCTACTTCTTTTAATAGTGTTTTGTAGTTTTCCTTGTATAGGTCTTTCACCTCCTTTGTTAGGTTTATTTCCAGGTACTTTTTTTTCTTTGGTATAATTGTAATGGGGATGGTTTCCTCAATTTCTTCTTTTTCAGACTGCATATAGGAAGGGTACTGATTTTTGTGTGTGGGTTTTGAAACCTGCTACTTTATTAAATTGGTTTATTATTTTAGGGTTTTTTGTGTGGAGTTTTTAGCGCGCTCTCTCTATGTTATATCATCTGCAAATAGTGATAGTTTTACTTCTTCTTTCCCTATTTGGATTTCTGGTATGGCTATCTCTTGCCAAATTGCCCTAGTTAGGACTTCCGGTATTATATTGAAAAGCAGTGGTGAGAGTGGACAGCCTTGTCTTGTTTCCGATCTTAAAGTTAAGACATTCAGTTTTTCACTGCTAAGAATGTTAGCTGTGGATTTGTCATATGTGGCTTTTATCATGTTAATGTACGTTCCTCTATCCCAAGAATTTTGAGGACTTCACCATTAGCAGATGCTGAACTTTATCATGTTGAACTTTCTCAGCATCTACTTATATGATCATATGGTTTTTTCTTTTTGTTGATGTGTTCAATTTCATTAACTGATTTTTGGATGTCGAACCATACTTGTGTCCCTGGAATAAATTCCACTTGTCATGGTGTATAATCCTTTTGATGCATTGTTGGATCCAGTTTGTTAAGATTTTATTGAGGAGGGCCTCCCCAGTGGTGCAGTGGTTGAGCGCTGGGTTGTGAAGCGCCCGCAGCCTCTGCAGCGCTGGTTCGATCCCCGGCCACCGGGCGAGGATCCCACATGGCATGCAGACCTCTCCTGCCACGCCCGCTGCTCCCCTCAGCAGTGTATTTCATCAGTCTGCCTGTTCTGCTCCCCGCTCTGGCTCTGGTGAATTCTTTCACCCTCCCCACTTCTGACTGTACCCCAGTGCTTGTATAAATAAATCAATCTTAAAAAAAAAGAAAAAAAAAGATTTTATTGAGGATTTTGCATCTTTGTTCTTTAGGGAGATTGGCCTGTAGTTTTCTTTTTTGTGTGATGTCTTTGCTTGGCTTTGGTATTAGTATAATGTTGGCTTTGTAAAATTTGTTTCGTATTATTCCTTCTTTCTCAATTTTTTGAAAGAGTTTTTGTCAGATAGGTATCAGTTCTTCAAATGTTTGGTATAACTTCACTGTGAAACCATCTGGTCCTGGACTTTTTTTCGAGGGAGGGTTTTTTTTTTTTTTAAGATTTTTATTTTTATTTAATTTATTTATACAAGCACTGGGCACAGTCAGAAGTGCAGGAGGGTGAGAGAATTCACCAGAGCCAGAGCGGGGAGTAGAGCAGGCAGAAGGACCGAAGCACACCGCTGAGGGGAGCAGGCGGCAGGAGAGGTCCGCGCACAATGTGGGACCCTTCTCCGGTGGGTGGGGAGCAGCCAGGGATCAAACTGGCGCTGCAGAGGCTGCGGGCAGCCTCGCAACCCAGCGCTCAACCGCTGCGCCACCGGGGAGGCCCTCGGGGGAGGGTTTTAATTATTGTTTCAATTTTGCTGCTCTTAGCTGGTTTTCTATTTCTTTTTTATTCAATTTTGGATGACTGAGTACTTCTAACAATTTGTCCTTCTCATCTAGATTGTTGAACTTGTTTGCATGTAAATGTTCAGAGTAATCTGATTATCTTCTGGATTTCTGCTATGTCTGTTGCAATTTCTCCTTTTCCATTTATGATCCTATTTATTTGAGTTTTCTGCCTTCTTTTGTGAGCCTGGCTAGGGGTCTGTCAACTTTATTTTTTCAAAGAACCAGCTTTTGGTTTCACTGATCCTTTGGATCATCTTTTTTTTTTTTTTTTTAATTTTTTTTTTATAGAGGCATGTTTTTATTTATTTATTTGTTTGTTTGTTTTGTTTGTTTATACATGCACTGGGTACAGTCAGAAGCGCGGGAGGGTGAGAGAATTCACCAGAGCCAGAGCGGGGAGCAGAGCAGGCAGAAGGACCAAAGTACACTGCTGAGGGGAGCAGCGGGCGGCAGGAGAGGTCTGCGCGCCATGTGGGACCCTCCTCCGGTGGCCGGGGAGCAGCTGGGGATAGAACTGGTGCCGCAGAGGCCGCGGGCAGCTTCGCAACCCAGTACTAAACCGCTGCGCCACTGGGGAGGCCCTGGATCATCTTTTTTACTTCTACTTCATTTATTTCTGCTGGAACTGTCACAATTTCCTTTCATCCACTGGCTTTTTTTTTTTTGCTGCTGTTGTTCTTTTTCTAGTTCTTCAAAATGGGAGATTAGGTCGTTTCTTTGGATTCTTTCTTGTTGTAGTCCTGTATTGATATACACGTTCCTCTTACTACTGTTTTTGCTATGTCCTGTCCCATACATTCAGGAAATATGTGTTCTCTTTTATTTGCCTCAAGATATGTTTTAATTCCTTCTTCGATTCCCTCATTAATCCAGTGGTCTTTCAATAACATGTTGTTCAATTTCTATGTACTGGAGGTGTTTCTTGCTTTCTATTCATAGTTGACGCCTTTATGGTCAGAGAAGACAGTTGGTATGATTCTGATCTTCATGCATCTGTTGATGTTTGTGCTGTGACCCAGTATGTGGTTCATCCTGGAGAATGATATATGTGCAATTGAAAAAAAGTTTGAGGGAGGAGGGTGCCGTGTCCCTATTTAGGGTTATTGTGTTTTTGTGTATTTTCTGTCTTGTTGATTTGTCCATTGGTGAGAGTAGGGTGCTGAAGTCTCTTACCACGTATGTATTTTCTCCAGTGTTAGTTTTCAGAAAGGATAGTTAATTGTCCAATATATTTTGGTGTGCCCTCATTTGAAGAGTATATATTGATGAGGGTGATGACTTCCTGGTTTATTGTCCCCTTGATTACTATAGTATCCATCTATGTCTCATCATCTTTTTTTAGTTCAAAGTCCATTTTATCGGCTTAAGGATGGCTGCCCTGCCTTCTTTTCAAGGCCATTTGCTTGCAGAATTGTTTTCCAACCCTTACTTTCATTCTGTGTTTATCTTTTAACACTTAGGTGTGTTGCCTGGAGATAGCAAAAGGTTGGACTCTGTTTTCTAATCAAGCATGCTGCTCTGTGTCTTTTTATTGGTGCATTTAGTCCATAAACATCTAGGGTGATTATTGATACATTAATGTCTCTAATTGCCATGCTGTTCATTGTTTCATGGTTCTATTCAGGACCTTGTACAGGTCTTCCCGTTCATTCCTCAGTTTAGGTTTTAAGGCTTTTTGTAATATTTCTTGGAGTGGGGGTTTAGTAGAACCGAGTGTCTGGAGATTTTGCTTGTCTGAAAAGGTTCTCAGTTTTCCCTCACATAGGAAAGAGAGCTTTGCAGGATTAAGCATTCTTGGCTGGCATTTTTTGTCCTCGAGTTTTTTGAATGTCACTCTATTCTCTTCTTGCCCATAGTGTTTTTTCAGAGAAGTCTGATGTCAGCCTAATTGGTTTTCCTTTAGGTTATCTGTTTCTTCCCCTTAAACAGCTTCATTATTTTTCTTTGTCTTGGTATCCTTTCTGTTACGTGGCTTGCTGTAATTTTCCTTCCATTATGGTAATCTGGTGTTCTGCTTCCTGTGTGTGTATTTTCATTTTCTTCTTCATGTTTGGGAAATTCTCTTCAATTATTTCCCTGAGTAGGTTCTCAGTTCCTTTGTCTCTCTCTTCTCCTTCAGGGTTTCTTATGACTCTTAAATTTCCATTCCTAGTGGTGTTGGATAGTTCTCGAAGTGTTTCTTTACTCTTTTTCCTTTGTACCTCTCTTTCCTTTTCTTTTTTGTTTCCTTTTATTTCTGTATTTAAAAATACTCATACACTTTTACATTTTATCTATTCTATTTTCATGGCTTTCCCAGATTTCTTTAGCTCCTTGATTGATCTCATAACATCCTGTAGTTCCTTTACTTTCTTATTTAAAGATTCACTCTCATACTTCAGTTTGTTGATTACATTTCTCATATTATTCTTTTCCTTTTCTCCAAGTTTTTTAATTATGGTGATTCTGAATTCTTTATCAGACAGAGAAACTCTTCCGTGTCAGCACTCTTGGGTTCCGGAGGCTGATTTTCTTTCTGTGGTATGTTCCCAGGTGGGCTTGCTTGACCATCTGTATTTTCCTTTCTCTCCACTGTTTGCTTTGAGGTTTGTTCTAAGCATAGAGCCACCTACAGCTCATGTTGGCAGGCATAACTTCTGGGTGCTCTTACCAGGGCACAGATGCACGGGTGCCTCCCATGGCTCCTCCCTCAGTTGCTGTCAGCTGGACCTCTGCTCTGGGAAGGGGGGACTTACAAGTGCTCCTGTGGGGGCATTGGGGCTACTGTGGCAGGGAGGGTTTGAGGTGGGGGTTTCCTGCCACTCCTACCTGGACATGTGTCTACTTGATGGGTGATGCCGGCAGGTGGGGCTTCCAGGTACTGGGGGGAGGGGTAAGGGTTGGGTGAGGGCAGATTCCTCTGTGGCCACTGGGACTTGAGGGCAGGAGTTTCCCACAGCTCCCACCTGGGGGCACATCTACTTGAGAGTACTTGATGGCTGATGCTGACAGGTGGGGCTTCCAAGGGCTCCCGGGGTGGTGGGGTTGGGAGCCTCTGTAGCTGATGGGGCTAGAGGGCAAGGGTTTCCCACCTCTCCCACCTTGGCATAGGTCTACCTGAGGGCTGACGCCAGTGGGCGGGTCTTCCTGGCGTTCCCAACGGCTGAGGCCGGAGGGCTGGGCTTCCAGCGGCCCCTGCCGGCTGCTGCGGGAGGGCCTGCCTTCCAGCCGCCCCTGCCGGCTGCTGCGGGAGGGCCTGCCTTCCAGCGGCTCCTGGCGGCTGCTGCGGGAGGGCCAGCCTTCCAGCGGCTCCTGGCGGCTGCTGCGGGAGGGCCGGGCTTTCGGGCGCTCCGTCTGGCTGCTGAGGGAGGGCTGGGCTTTCAGGAGCTCCTGGGGGGCGTAGAGGGTCTCTGTGGCAGGTGGGGCTTGAGGGTGGGAACTTCCAGACATTCTCATCTGGGAGCGCATCTACGGGATCCAAATAATAACTCTAGTTACCAACAATTAGTATTTATTAAGACTATATCAATAAAAGATCTATAACTTACTTTATATATTTGCAAAAATCAAAATGAGTCTCTTCAAATGTACAATACAACATTTTAACGAAGTTAGATTCATCTTTACCTCTGTAGTCTAAATTACTGACTTTTTCCTGGACATGACAAGAAATAAAAGTGATTATTTCCTTTATTCCAAACACCTTCCCTCTCAGGGCTTAAAAATAATATGTAGGGGGCCTCCCTAATGGCGCAGGGGTTAAAAACAGCGCTATCAAGCTACTGCAAGCCACTACAGCAGTTTGATCCCCACCGGCCAGGGAGCAACCCACGTGGCACAGCAGACCTCTCCCACCTCGCCCGCTGCTCCCCTCAGGAGTGAACTTCAGTACATCTGCCTGCTCTGCTCCCCACTCTGTCCCCGGTGAATCTTCTCACCTCCCACACCTCTGGCCTGCACCCCAGCTCTTGTATGCATAAATAAATGAAATCTTAAAAAAAAATAATATGTAGGATACCCCCTTTCAGCTTTTCATTCCTTTTGCTGATTTCATAGGACCTAATAAAACTATTGTGAAATCAACTACCCATTTTTTAACCAGATACTAGACTGAAATCCAATGAGCAAATTAAAAAAAAATTTAAATATGACTGATTTCATATTTAAGTTTTTACCTGAAGAAATGCAGGTGACTGGGCATTTTCATCCTCCAAATATTCATTTTCTGGTTCTATGGTGTTCATGCTGTTAAAAGAAAAACAAGTTAAAATGAGAATGGGAGTTTAAATCCAACTGAAAACAAAAATGCTTGAGTGTATTAGTAAAGATTTTGTCAGTTACTCCATAGTTAAGCCAGATATCTTTATAGTCAAATTAACTCTAAATATTCGTTTTAAAGCTATTAACATATTCGTACATCTTAAAAACCAGTATCATACAGAAATTTTATAATTTTCAAAAGTTTACAATGCTGGGCCATCTCTTAAAAAGCAAATACTAGAAAAATCAGTCTTTATACACTAAACTAGTATTTTGAGGTAATTTCCAACACTGATTTACTATTTTCAGTTACGTTCCTGCATGAGACACTAAGAAATATTTTTAAATGAGGGCCTCCCCGGTGGCGCAGCGGTTGAGCGCTGGGTTGCGAAGCTGCCCGCAGCCTCTGTGGCGCCGGTTCGATCCCCGGCTGTTCCCTGGCCAACGGAGGAGGGTCCCACATGGCGCGCAGACCTCTCCTGCCGCCCGCTGCTCCCCTCAGCAGTGTACTTCGGTCCTTCTGCCTGCTCTGCTCCCTGCTCTGGCTCTGGTGAATTCTCTCACCCTCCCGCGCTTCTGACTGTACCCAGTGCATGTATAAACAAAAAACAAACAAACAAATAAATAAAAATAAGTAAAACATGCCTCTAAAAAAAAAAAAAAAGAAATATTTTTAAATGAAATAAGATCAACTATATTAACACCTACCCCTAAAAGTTACTGGCACATACTGTCTTTATAGACAGTCTATTTGAAGAGTCTGTAGGATCAACATTTAAACAAAATAGATTTATTTTAAAGAAGAATGAACACATCAAGAGAAGAGTTGGATCTGGGAACTTTTATTTTAAAATACCAGTTGTTTTCTAATATCGCTGTGATTTTTGTCCCTTTGAGTGCAGGGACAATGTTTTTGCCTTAAAAATATACTTCAATGCTTGAATTAGTATTGCATACAAAAGTAAAGATTTTAAGTTTTAAATACTGGATACTCTGACCACACCTGTTAGTGTTTCAAATAGCTATACTTTTTTAAAAAGGCAAGCAATTTTTCTTAATTGAAGTAATACTGGATTACGACATTATATGGGCTGCACACTTGAATCAATATACTTTCAATCAACATCAGTGTATACAACATTGTGTCTGCCACCAGAATTGCAGTTTCCATCCACCACAATGAAATCTACCCTACCCCTTTAACCTCAGTCACCCTCCTTCTTCCCAATTTTGTTCTTATAGTTTAATAGCTTGTTTTTGTTTTATTTAGTTGAATCATTTGTTGTTAATCACGCCTGAGTGAAATCATATGGTCTTTGTCTTTCTCAGTCTGATTTAGTATCCTCAGCATAATATCCTGTAGTGCTAGCCATCTTGCTGCGAATGGCAAGCTTTTTTTTTTTTTTTTAATATAGCTGAGTAATATTCCACATCTTCCTAATCCACTCATTTGCTAGCAGGCGCTTAATTCTTTCCAAATCTTGGCTATTGTAAATAATAGAGATATTAGGATACTGGGAGTGCAGTTATCTCTTTGAATTAGTATTTTTGTATTTGGATAGATATACAGAAGTGGGATAGCAGAATCATACAGTATTTCTAGACTTAATAAAAAAAATTTCCATAGTGTTTTATGTAATGGCTACAACAACTTATGTTCCCACAAATAGCGTATGAGGGCTCCCTTTTCTCCATAACCTCTTCTATACTTGTTGTTTCTTGTCATTGTGGTTATAGATAGGCAAGTAATTTTAATAATGAAAATTTTTTATGAAAGAGCCAGTAATATTTGAATATCTAACAAATGCTAGGTGCTTTACAGATATACTGTCTCATGCCAAAGAAAGTATAATATGAAAATCCTTTAAGAATCATAACTGAAGTTATGACTTCTCATAACAGAAAAAAATTAAAAATTTCTGATTGAAAAATACAACTCTAAGTTCCTTCAAAATAAAATCTCATTGGTTGAAGAGATCTCAAAATTACTATTAGTTAAGGATATTTTTTTTAATAGAGGCATGTTTATTTATTTGTTTGTTTTGTTTATACATGCACTGGGTACAGTCAGAAGCACGGGAGGGTGAGAGAATTCACCAGAGCCAGAGCGGGGAGCAGAGCAGGCAGAAGGACCAAAGTACACTGCTAAGGGGAGCAGCGGGCGGCAGGAGAGGTCTGCGCGCCATGTGGGACCCTCTTCCGGTGGCCAGGGAGCAGCCGGGGATCGAACTGGCGCTGCAGAGGCTGCGGGCAGCTTCGCAACCCAGAGCTCAACCGCTGCGCCACCGGGGAGGCCCTACTAAAGGATTCTTAAGTGCTACAAACCAGGAGGGTGGATGAATTGCTTAGGTTGTGTCAAGTCTGAAGGAGCAGGGGGAGGATTAGCACCATTTGAGTTCAAACACACATGAGTTGTGCGTTAGAACAAAAGTTCATCCAGTCAGAAATTTCTGAATGCCTACTCTTTTGGGTTCTGAAGATAAAACACAGCAAGGCAAAACTGAAATGTAGGTTTCTACTCTCACAGGACTTAACCCGCTGGTTAGGGATAAAGGAAAAAGAAATAATATTTTCACAGTGTGATGCATACTGAAAAATATACACCAGGAAGATGTTACAGTGATCGAGGTAGTATTTGAACTTTGACCTGAATGAGAAGAAACTGTGAATCATAATCAGGTAGATCAGAAGCAGGCAAACCTAACAACTAAGAATCACACAAATAGGACATCAAGAAACCAGGCAGCTATTTTAACATCTGCAACTAAGTCATGATTAGGATAGCAGGACCTGGAATTCAGGCAAGTACTAGAGCTTCAACAAAACCAAGGGATGGAGTCCGAATAATTAAAACAGGTTAGCAGCTACAAGTCAAGCAGCATTTGTCCTCTTTCCGTAACTGTCAAGAGTGCAATTGGTAGGTAGTTTGCATGGTAACTAAAAGGAAGGACTTTGGAACTGAGATAGAAATGTATTTTAGTCTCTCCTTTACGTTTTAATAATTGTCAGAAGTAATTTATCTCCCCAGGGTTCAGCTTCCTTATCTGTGAAATAATGATCTAAATAATGATCTTTAACTATTGGTTATTGTTAGTATTAAATGACAAATAAGAGCTGGCACAAATTGGACATTAAGTACTTACCATTAATCATTCAATTATCACAACTCTGAGTATGTACTATTGTTTATTTCTTATTTTAAGTTGGTTATGAACATATTTTCAGATATTTATTGGCTATTTGAATATATTCTTAAGTGTCTGAATCTCGTCCATTTCTTAAAAATGGTTGAGAAATCGGTTGCCTTTTTCTTATTGAATTGTTGGAGTTAGTTATGTGCTCTAGAAACAAATCTTTTTTATTCTTTTCCTACTCTCTGGCTTGCCTTTTCACTGTATCTTTGAATGAAAAGAAGTTCTTTGAGTTCAACTTATCCTCTTTTTCCTTTATGTTTAGAGCTTTTTTTGTTTCAGAAATCTTTGCCCCAAGATCATAAAAGTATTATCCCACATGTTCTTCTAGAATCATTTGTGGTTTGTCTTTTCACTTTTAGGTCTATAATCCACCTGGAAATGATTTTTTTTTAAGATTTTTTTATTCATACAAGAGCTAGGGTACAGGCCAGAGGTGGGGGAGAGTGAGAGGATTCACCAGAGACAGAGTGGGGAGCAGGACAGGTAGATGGACCTAAAGTACCGCTGAGGGGAGCAGTGGGTGTGACAGGAGAGGTCTGCTGCACCATATGGCAATCTTCCCCACCGGCCAGAATTGAAGCCACGCTGCAGAGGCTGCGGACAGCTTCACAGTGCTGCGCTCAAGCCGCTGCACCACCAGGAAGGCCCTGGAAATGATTTTTATTGGCTTGTGAGGGAGACAGTACAATTGCAGTTCAGTACCTCCTTTGTGATAAATCCGGTTGATACCCGTGCATGTATTCTTGGATTTGGTTCTATCCCATTGGTCTATTTGTCTAACCCTATGCCAAAATTACACTGGTGTTTGCACCACAGGTACTGTATGTTTTCTCTTGTTCTCCTTCAAAGATAGGATAACTTTTTGGCTCTTTGTATTACCATATAAATTTTAGAATCAAGTTGTCAATTAGCACATACAATCTCTGCGGGAATTTTAACTAAAACTGCATTAAATCTATTGCAATTGGGGAGAACTGACATCCTACTATTATTGAGCCTCTCAATTCTTGAACAGAATACCTCCCTCCACATATTTAGATTTTCTTTAGGTTTTTTTGTTTTGTTTTGTTTTCAGTGTATAGAGGTCTTGTACATCTTTTATTAAGTTTATTTCTAAGCATTTGATTTTTTCAAAATATGCTATCAAAATAACATTTTAAAAATTTATTATTTGTTTTTTGCTGGTATGTTGTAACACAAGTAATTTTTATTTCCTTTCTATCTAGGCTTGATAAATTCACCTTGTTATTCTAATAGTCGATGAATGCGTATTAGAAATCTGGTCCATTTTTTCTACGACATTATAGAACCTCGGTTCGTTCTTCAGAACATTTATCTCAGTGTCACTATGCATTCATTCCAATGACTGTTTTCTGTGCTTGCCTCACAGCTCTGTTCATTTTATTTTCAATTTTTTTCCTACCATGTTCTTCTGATTGGACAACTTCTATTTATTTGTCTTTAAGTTCATGATTCTTTCCTCGTTTATTTCCAATCTGCTATTGAGTCAGTCCAGTGAAAATTTTTATTTCAGAGGGTATGTTTCAGTTCAAAATCTGTACAATTTGCTGCTATTTCACTGTTTCCAGTTTTCTGCTGTGAATATCTCCCTACTCATTACAACCGTGCTTATGTTTACTACATGAACTCAGTTATTATAAGGTCGAGGCCAGGGCAGCGATGGGGTAGTGGGGGGCGACTTGAAACTGCTGCCGCCTGCATACCGGGAGCCGGCTCTGCGCTCGATTTGCACGGGCCCTGATAAGCAGCATTGAAAGAACAATCAGTTCT